CCCCCCCCCCCCCCTGCCCCCCCCCCGCCCTGCTATGGGGAGGGAGCTGGGATTACTTCCGTCAGACACAGAGCACCTAGAGGATGAGTAGCCTCCCTGGTTCCAAACTCGGGTTGGTGGGAGCCCACACTCCCAGTGAGCTCTTGCAACTGGAGAGAGCTTCAGTGACAGGGCCACTTTGGTTCTGTCAAGATTTGCCAGAGGGCTGTGAGAAATGACACTTGTCCCTCCTCTAGGGATCACACTGCGTGGGGGGGGCTCAACCCCAGCCCAAGGTGTTGGCCTTGGGATACTCCAGGTCCCTGGGTCCCTTGTACTGATCCGCAGCTGGACAGAGAGGCTGCACATTTCTGATGGGTTTGAACTCAGGACATAAGTGAAGCCATACTGAGATCGTCAAGAGAGGAAGCCTTTCCAACTCTGGGCTTCAGGGTGGTGTGGGTTTGGGGGACCCCATTTAGGGGTGTTTGCAGAGAACAGTGGGGACCTCGTGTTCACCTGAAGCCCTCATCATGTGGCTGTGCCATCTGTCACCAGAAACAGAAAAGGCTGGAACAGGAGGGGTGGCTGCCACAGGGCCCAGCGCTGGAGCAGTGGCAATGCCCAGCCTCACAGTCAGGAGGGCTCTGCCTCCTCTGGGATCTGCCCTGCTGGAGAGGGGCAGGAGCCAGGGGCGCCGGGAAACAGAAGTGAGACCATCCCGCAGAAGGTTGCAGGCTGAACGGAAACTGGGGGCCCAGCCAGGCGCCAGCAATGTGTTTCCGCCCACATAGGCAGGGGGGCGCCTGGCAGACCCTCAGAGGCTGTGAATCAGCTCTCACTTCCCTCCTTTACCCCTATTTTAGGCCCTGGAAAAATGCTGACACTGCAGAGGCAACAACCGGCCTCCTTCCCCAAAGGCCAGACAGGGGTTTCAAGTTCTCCTTTCTCCTTCAAGAAAATTTTCCTTAAAAGAGATTGGCTCCTCAGTAAACACAGCAGTGCTGTGATGCAGGGTGGGCCCTGGCGACATTCTAAATCATAACCATAAAGGCTAAGGTTTATTCTGACACAGGTGGTGCTCTAAAGGCGTCTATATATTTAAACCATCTAACGAGCCAATGAATGGGTACAATTATTGTCCTCATTTTATAGGTGGGGAAACCGAGGCACAGACTCTCCAAGCCATCCTCCTGGGATATAGACCAGATATTCAGTGCTTGGAACACCTCTGGTTCTGCCGGACTCAGATCTTACATCCCCTTTCTACTTCCCTGTACGAATTAAATCAGAGGACTCGGCCATGAATATTACATTTCACTTGTTTGTTCATTTGCTTGTTTGAGTCCCGCTTGAGCCAGAGCCTGGGCATGGTGCTGGGGGTAGGAAGGAAGCCCACTTTGTACACAGGTTGAAGGCTTCTACTCCTGGGGAGACGATGTTATCACAGCAGGGGAGACTGAAGCTGGGCCCTCTAGTGGGACAGAGGCCTTGGTGAGGCTGAGGAAAGCTCCTATCCCCTCTCAGAGGAATGGCTTCCTGTTCATCAGAGATGTTTGTCTATGCCTGAGCTTGGGTATGGGAGTTGAGAAAATGACCAGAGGGACACAGACTTGTTCGAGGGAACTCTCAGCACCAGCACCAGCACTGCCAAGGGACCGCCCATGGCTGAGTCAGGCGATGGCCCAGGGTGCACCCCGGGCCTCACTTCTGTCTGCCACCCCCACCCACCAGGTCACGGGGTTCCAGTAATAGAGCCCAGAGGCCCTGAGCTGGTCGTGCAGCCAGGTACGAAGGTGAGCCTGCGATGTGTGGGCAACGGCAGTGTGGACTGGGATGGCCCTGTCTCCCCTCACTGGAATCGGGACCCTGATGCCCCCGGCAACAATCTGATCACCAACAATGCCACCTTCAAACACACGGGGACTTATCGCTGCACCGAGTCGGGAGACCCCCAGGGGGGCAGCGCCATCATCCACCTCTATGTCAAAGGTGAGGACTCAGCCCCTCCCAAGAGGCCTGGCACCCTGGGCCCCACGGTAACGAGCAGAGGGCTGACCCCTGCTACTGACTCTCATGATAAATCAACTGCATTTTTAGAGCACTGACCACAAAGAAGGGTCTGTGGCAGCGCTTCTAATTCAGTGCAGTCGCCCAGTGAGGTAAACTGGTGACCAGAGACTCAGAGAGGCTTCGGGATGTTCGGGGAGGGAAAGCCACGGTGACACTGTGCCCCTCTCCCCAGACCCTCGGCGGCCCTGGAACCTGCTGGCAGAAGAAGTGACAGTGTTTGAGGGTCAGGATGCCCTGCTGCCCTGCCTGCTCACTGACCCCCAGCTGCAGGCCGGCGTCTCTCTGGTGCGTGTGCGTGGCCGGCCTCTCTTGCGCCAAACCAGCTACTCCTTCTCGCCCTGGTACGGTTTCACCATCCACAAGGCCAAGTACACTGAGAGTGAGGACTACCAGTGCAGCGCCTCAGTGGATGGCAGGACGGTGATGACCCTTGGCATCCGGCTCACTGTGAAGCAAGGTGCGTGGGGCAGGAAGGGCCTGGCCAGGTGTGGAAGGCAGGAGAGCGGGCTGGCGGCCCTGCAGGCGACGGCCGGGAAGTGACGGACATTTCCTTTCACTCCTTCTGTTTAATCCCACCACAATCGTCTATGACCAGGGAGGGCAAGGCGGGTCAAGGGCAGGATACAGACCACATGCAAGTAAGCAGCTCACCAGGCAGAATCATCTCGCTACGACAATCACTAAGCACAGAACGTAGCTAACAAATACGTGGCTGGCTGAGCAGGAGACTCCCTTTCGGCCTGGAAGGTCTCTGGGCCTTGGGAAGGTGAACCAGGGCATCTTTCAATCTCAACAGCAGGCACGAAGATTATTTCCTGCCAGGCACAGTGCCCACTGTAGATGTCATTTTTGTGGTTTAGACATCCTACTGAAGAGTCAGAATAGAAAGAAAGTAGATTCTAAATTGTGGTAAAAGGGGCCCCTGGGAGTAGGGGCATGGGGGTGAAGCCAATTCTTCTAATGCATGAAAAGTTTCTTAGAGGAATTTTTAAGCTAAAGATTTGCAGAATGAGAATAGCTCTCTCTTCCCAGCATGGGAAGGAAAGCACCGCAGGCGAGAAAGGCAAGGGTGAAGGCCCTGCGGTGGAAAGGCCAGTGCGGCTGCAGTGCAGTAAACAAGGGTGACAGGGGGCAGGGTGTCTGGAGCAACGCTGAAGGACAGTGACAGGCTTTGGCTTTTATGCTAAAGGTGACAGGAAGCCACTGAATGTTTGTACAGGATGGGGGCATGATCCAGTTACATTTCTCAGCGGTCACTTTGACTGCTAATTTATATACGTTCGGAGGGAGGCAGGGAGGCTTTCAAGGTGACTATTGCAGAAGTCCAGGGCAGAAAGTGGTATTGGGGCTGGGGAGGTGGTGGTGATGGAAGAAATGGTCTTTCCATGGTCTCGTTAAGAACAGGACTTGCTATGGGAGAAAGGGAGGCATCAAAGTTACCTTCCAGGATTTGGGATGAGAGCGGTGGGGGCCTGGCAGTGGCCTGACTCAATGCAGGGAGCGGAGAGGCTCAGGGGTCTCGTCTCTGGCCTCAGTCTTCCCAGGGCCCCCAACCCTGACACTGGAGCCTCCAGAGCTGGTGCGGATCCGCGGGCAGGCTGCCCAGATTGTGTGCTCAGCCAGCGACGTCGACGTCTACTTTGATGTCTTCCTCAGACATGGAGACACCAAGGTCAGTCCCTGCCTGGCTTGAGGTCTGAAGAAGGGAGTAAAGGTGTCCATCCTTCCTGCACCACAGGCTCGCGGGCAGAGCCTCCAGCTTCCCCCTGAAGGGCTGAGGACACAGCCCAGGCCCAGAGAGGGAGGGGACCTTCTGAGATCTCACTGCAGTCAGCAGCTGATCCAGAACCAGAGCTCAGCTCACGCTGTTGAATCTTCTGGGGGAGGGAGTGGGGGACACTACACGGATGCCTTGGTCTTTGCCCCAGTTTGTAGAAAGAAACCAGATATGTGCTCACCTCTATCTTAGCAAGGGATTTCTAGGCCATCTTCAAAGGCTGGGAAAGGGCTATTTCAGACTTTGGGAGAGAGGGAGGAGAAGGAAAGAGGATTGTGCAGCAGACAGTGGTGCAAAGCTGCTTTTCAGAATGTCCCCTTCCCAGCCACTCCCCGGCCTCCGCTCAGGCTGCAGTGCGGTAGGACAGCCCTAGGCTCCAACCCCAGAGGCAGGGGGCCAGGATCAGTTCCATTTTATAAATGAAGAAGCTGAGGCTCAGAGTTCAGTCCTTGCCAAGGATAGGCACAGAGTAATTGTGAAAGCTGAAGATTTGGACTCTGATGGTTCCAATCCCATAACAACCTTGACGTATCATCCCCATCCCTTCTAACTGCAGCTCAAAATCGCTCCGCGATCTGATTTCCATGATGACCGTTACCAAAAGGTCCTGACCCTTAACCTGAATGAGGTAGGCTTCCAAGATGCTGGCAACTATTCCTGTGTGGCCCAGAATGACCAGTTCGTCAACTCCACCTCCATGGTCTTCCGGGTGGTAGGTGAGCATCAGGAGGGCGGGGGTTAGGGGAGGAGGGGCAGCAGGCTCTAAACTGATGGCGAGGAGGACACTGCTTTTATCCTGGGCCTGGCGAGGCAGCTGCAACCCTGGGAGCCTTCCCGGCTCCTCTCCCAGGACCGTCTCCCCCGTCTTGGAGCTCCTACTGTGTATTGCTGCTTTAGTGCTACTTTAGGTTTCCTACTTTGGGATCGGCACCGGCACCGAGGAGCTGCCTCCTGAAGTTCATTTGTTCACTCACTCATCATCTCCATTCCTGCATTCCCGGGGCACTCGTGTCCCCCTGGCGCGGGAACAGACGGGCAGCGAGCGCTTTAGCGTGAATGTGGGGCGTGCAGGGTTCCTCCAGCTCGGGCTTGCAGAAAGCGGCCTCTACAAAACCAGCACAGGATAACTGGAGGTGGCTGAGCTGGGCTGAGAGGTGGGGCAAGATGAGGAGCAGCACTTCTGGCAGAGGGAACAGCATATGTGAGGCCCAAAGGCAAAGACATCGTGGAGTTTTGGAGAGGCAAAAGAAGCCGACAATTGCAGAGACGTGGAGCTGCGTGAGCAGGGAGTAGAGATGGAGGCAGAGATCGGAGGGCAAAGGCGCCTCAATGTGGGGGTTGCCTGAGTCTCACTCTCTGATCTGAAGGGCTAAGAGAACGGCGATGGGCTCAGCGTACACAGAGGGCCACTGTGTGGCAGCCAGGAGCCCGCACCCTGGGCAGCATCCCCACCTGGCTGTGCCAAGTGTTAGCAGGGCCGTCGTCTCCCTACCTGCAAAACAAGGATAGCAGAATGAACGGCCTCAGATTTGTCGGAAGAACCAGATGAGCATATTCATAAAGCAGGACAGGGCCTGACTGCCGAGGCGTGGGTGAGGACACACTGCTGAGAAGGCTCCCTCTCTACGGCGGTGGGAGGAGGCTGGGGAGCCACTTGGGCGGCTGCTCCCGTGTTCAGACCGCAGTGGGGAACGGGGAGGTGTCAGGCCCAGGATGACTGACAAGACCTACTGGCTGCTTTGATAAGGGATGAGAAGGGACAGGGCCGGGGTAGTTGGGTGGGTAGCAGAGGCACCCCCGGACTGGAAACCCTAAGTGAAGAGGAGGCCTTGAAAGTGGGAGCAGGCTCCGAGACATTTTGGTCTGGCCATGGCTTGGGCGTTGAGTGTTACAAGAGTCAGAGAGTGGAGGGGCGGAGAAGCATGAATCACTACCCAAGAGCACATGCAGTGCCCTGACCGGAAGCAGAATGTGGGGTGGCTATGAGCTCTAAAGGGGAGGAGGAGAAAAGCACATATAGTTGTCCCTCAATCATGGCTACGATTCCTATGTTTCTCAGGTGGCCATATAGTAGTCACTCAATAAATGTTTGTGCCCATTCACGGGGTTAACTGGACATTGTTCTAGATGTGGAGGCCACAGAAAATGAAATGGGTATAAAACCCCTGCCCATCTGAAATTCGTGCTGCAGAAAAAGGAAGAAAAGCAATGAGAAGAATAAATTGTAAAGGACAAATTGGTTGTGCAGCATTTTCTGTGTCGAACGGGTTGGCCATTGAAGGAGCGCTCTTTGGGAAGCTACCATTTGGGCAAAGACTTGACGATGGCGAAGGAACAAACCATCACATGTTTCAAAGAGAGCTCCAGGCAGGGGCAAGAGCAGTGTTCTCAAGAGATCGTGGTCCGAAAACTCAGAGGAGGTTGTGTATATTAAAGAGATATTCATTACTAGCATATGCTCAAATGTGAAAAGAAATTAGAACACTGCAAATTTGCATTATTTTATTTATATAGTAAAATGCATGATTTTTACTTTATTTTCAGTTACAATCTAGAAATCATTGCACAGAGATATACGGCAATATGTACCAGAGTTCTGTGTCTCTCATAGATAAAATGTTATCAGACATGGTGCGCCCTTGTAAAATGCGTGTTTTAACTAAACTGACAGCTTAGATGTTATGTATGCCTTAACACCAGTCAAGTACAAACGCACAGCTACTCATGACCTTGAACCTATGTACCCAACCCATGTAACAATATTTAAGGTGAGATCAGCTGTAACCTCGTGCTTGCCATGTTCAAGAAACAAATTGGCCGTTGTGGCTGGAGTGAAATGAGCCCAGGGAGGAGTGGTGCAAATGAGGTCAGAGAGGTAAATCCTGAGGAGGCAGCAGATCCCTAGAGTTCTGTGAGCCAACAGAAGGACTTGGCCTTCTCCTCTCGAGAGAGGGAGGGAGCTGCTGGAGGGTTTGAGCTCCAGGAGTGATACTGAGAGGCTGGGATGTAACAAGATCTAACAGAGCTTTGTGGAGGACTCTCTGTAGGGAGACAAGGGAAGGAGGAGGAGGACAAGGTTAGAAAGCTACTGCAATGCTCCAGGCTCGAGACTAGACTGGCAATGGTGGGGGTAGTGGGAAGTGGTTGGAGTTTGGAAGGATAGGCAGATGGGTGGAGAGTCGGAAGAGAGGTGTCAGAGCAAGTCGTGGTTGAGGGTAGAGACTATAAGCTGGCACATAGAGGCCAATGAACAAACAAACTTGGGCGCCTTCCCACTAATGCTAGATCTCTGTGTGTTGCTTTCCAGGAAGTCCCTACTTGAACCTGACCTCTGAGCAGGACCTCTTCCAGGAGGTAACTGCGGGTGAGAACCTCAGACTCGAAGTCAAGATAGAGGCTTACCCCAGCCTACAAGGTTACAACTGGACCTACCTGGGCCCCTTCTCGGACCACTCGCACAAGCTGAATTTTAACACCATCAGTAGCACATACAGGTAAGTGCCACTTGTCACCACCTTCCGGCCTGCTCCTGCAGCCAGATGAGGGATGCTTCAGCTAGGCCCTGGGGTCCTCATATCATGTCCCACACTTGCTATGTGACCTTGTGCATGGCCCATCTCCTTTCCAAGTCCCACTGACTATGTGGACCTCAGTGTCAGTCATCTGTGTTTGAAGTTTGGATGGGATTGGCTTATCCCTCTGTCCCACATTCTTGGGAAATCCAACGCTGTCCTCAACAGTTCCACCATTTCCATGTTCTCAGGGCCCCTCAGGATCCCTCAAGAATGCTCAGCCTCTTTTCTTTTCTGCTTTCATGGCTGGTCCGGGTACAGAGAACAGCCCGCATCCCTGTGACTTCCCCCCAGAGACACAGTTCTAATAATGGCTGTACAAGGTATCTGCTGTGTGCACAGGTCTGGCAGGTACAGCAAATAAATGTCATACAATCACAGATGAGTCGGTAGTTCTTTAGAGTTCTGATCACTACCCCCAAGACTCAGTCCCGGGCTGCTCTCCTCCACAGGGTCAAAACTCTTCTCATAACGTGAAGTCTCATTCAACTGGCCATTTAATGTCATCTCTCCATTCACAGATTACTGTTTCCCACATTCTACCATTTTAGAAACCTTTTTCTTATCTTCTTATGGACTCTGTCCTCAGGTCTGACTTTCCCATCCAAAATGGCCCAATGAGACAGTTTCTAAACAAAAAAAAATTTCCTCCCTAGGAAGAAGGCTGTTATCAGGTATTAAAATGTGTTTCTTACCCTGTCCTGTCAGGATTAGAGAGTGGAGCTCCAAGGATAGCTAATGTGTGTCATGCTTACCACACTGGTGACAAACATTCCTAAGCCATTTTTCTGTGATTCTTTCCTGTGGAATATGGTGCTCAGAAACTGCAGTACAGTCCCTGGACACTATTTCCAGCATAGCTGGTGCATGAGGAGACCCATTTGTCCTCCCTGGGCTGGATAATCTCTTAGCATCTTCCAACTTCCAAACTCTCTGGGATCTTCTTCCATTTTATGAAACTCCAGACCTCAGTGATTCCTAGAATCTTGCTCGGGCAATGTCAGAAGCAGCAGGTTGCCCGTGTCCTCATCTTGCTGCTCTCGGGTCTCATCTGGTGCTTTCTGACCTGGGTCTCTATGTTCCCTTTCCCAAAGCAGAATCCAGAGCCTGCTGGCCTCAGGGAGTAGGCTGATCCGTGGAGGGGCTCAGGGGTCCACAAGCAATGGAGACTTTGTGGGAAGGAACCATAAGATCTCCTAAGACAAAGCACTCAAGGGCCATTCGACCAGGGCAGACAGGCCTGGCCACCAAGTCCATGGAAGGAACGCGCATGCAATGGCGCGTTCATGATGGTGCATTCGACTCATTCTGCAAAATTAAGTTCCGTTCAGTTGAAGGAGTCCATGTTAATTGTCTCAGGATTTGATATGTGGTACTCACATATTTTACATATGTAAAAAATTGCAACAATACAGATATTGTTAGCCTGGCCCCTGCCCAAAGATAACATAAAAGCTCACGAAGTGTTCTGTTTTAAAAAAGAAAAAAAAAAAAAAAAAGGAATTAACGTGTGGAAGGTTCTGACTGCCAAAGTCCTGGCAAAATGAGACTGCCTTTTGAATACCATGGATTTTAGTGGTGTAGTAGCTGCACCACTTTCCAAGCAGGAACTGGTAATTTGCTATCAGTTATTATTTTTTAAAATGTATTATTACTTGGTGGTGCTGGGGATTGATCGCAGGGCTTTATACATGCTAGATAAGCACTCTTTCTACCATGGAGCTCTACCTCCAGCTCTGCGATTATTTATTTTTTAAATTATGTTTTTTATTATCTACATGGTACATTCATTCTGGACAAACTATAATATAGAGATTAAGAAAAGAAGAAAACAAAAAAATGACCTGGAATCAGCCAAGATGCCTTTTTTAAAATTAGCATTTGCTTCCAGAATTTTTCTGTAACAAATGGTACCATTAATCTGAATACCTACAATGAGTCAGGTTCTGTGTCTGTCACCCTAAACACATAGCCCTTGAGCCCTCAGGCTAAGATGGATAACCATTAACACCCTCTCAGCAAAAAAGAGTGGGGGAGCAGAGAGGTTAAGCACCTGTATAGGCCACACAGACCCGAGATGTTCTGTGCGCTCTCTCCTCTTTTCCCTCTCCCCTCTCCCCTCTCCTCTGTCTCGTGTGTCTCTCTCTCTCTCCCTCTCTCTCTCTCTCTCTCTCTCTCTCTCTGTCTCTCGGCAGGACTTTAAGGCACTCTAAGGAATTCCAGCTATGATAGCTTTGCCTGTGAAAGCATCTTATACACTTCCCCTCTACTAAACCTCAGGAAAAATACCTTCAGATGAGACCAGCTAAGGAAATAGGGTTGGTGGTTTTTGCTGTCTCCATGACAACCCATCTGCATGTATGCCCTGGACACTTTACAAGAAAGAAAACAATCCCTTAAGGCTGTTGTCTGAGTCCCACTGGGGGCTGAGCAGTCAGGCCTCCAGGCGACCACACTTTTCCCTGCAGGTACTCCTCCAGCCTCTTCCTGACCCGTGTAAAGCCCTCAGAGGCTGGCCGCTACTCCTTCCGGGCCTGGAATGAGGGAGGCTGGAGTGTCCTCACCTTCAACCTCACCCTGCAATGTGAGTGATGGGGTAGGCTTTGCACATAGCGCCCCCGGAGTGGCCTGGGTTTGGGATGTACTGGGAGGGTGGGACAGTGGGCTCAGGGTAGTGGCCTTAGGGGCTGATACCTCTGGCCTCACTCTCCTTTCCTCCTCAGACCCCCCAGAAGTCAGTGTCACATGGAGCTCTATGAATGGTTCCTACACCCTGCTCTGTGTTGCCTCTGGGTATCCCCAGCCCAACGTGTCTTGGCTGAAGTGCAGGGGCCACACTGACAAGTAAGTGGGTTCTCCCTCACCTGGGCTGAGGGGCTGGACACCCATAATTGGGGGGGGCATTCCAGGCTGAAACCCTGAGCCATGTTCTGCTCTTCCCAGATGTGATAAGGCCCAGGTGCTACGTGTCTGGGAGGACTCAAACCCTGAGGTCCTGAGCCAGGAACCCTTCCACAAAGTGACTGTTCAGAGCCAGCTCACCCTCTGGACCCTGGTACCCAATGTGACCTACGAGTGCAGGGCTCGCAACAGCATGGGGAACAGCTCCAGGGTCCTTGGGCCAGTCACTCGAGGTGAGCCTTGCTCCTCCCCTCCTGGCCTTCACTCGAGGTGAGCCTTGCTCCTCCCCTCCTGGCCAACATGTAGAGTTGCGGGGGGGGGGGTGTCCTGGAGCTGCCCATCCCCCAAGGAGCAGATCCCAGCAGTACTGAGACCTACATCTCCTCCTGGCGAACAGAGCTCCGGAGGGAGGGCAGGGGTAGGTAAAACCCATGGGACGGAGACGCAGGGGAAAGGGCAGGGGCAGGAAGAATGGAGTCTGAGAAAAAGCAGCCTGAAGTAAGCTGACCCTAATCACACACCTGTTCTGTAACTCAGCCATCAATTCACAGAACGGGTTTGCCGTACACACCATTGCTGGGCACTTGTTCTGTGCAGGGTGCCAGTACCCCACAGAGGTTAGAGTCTGGTTAGAGGCAGTTCTAAGCCTCAGGACAGTGGTAATGGCTTCCTCCATCTCTCCCCGCCTTTCCTCCTGCCCTGAGACAGTCCAATCCACTCCAGGGCCCTGTGGGAGCAGCTGCCCAGGGCCTATGTCCAGCTCTGTAGATGCCCAGGCCACATTACTCTGCAAAAAAGCTCCCCGAGGTCAGTTCTCTGGCTCTCAAAGACCCACAGCACCCTCTAGCCTTTAGCAACCAGGTCTCAGCACCCACTGTGTGCCAGACTTGGGTGAGGCTCTCTGGGCCCAGGGGACGCAGAGCAGCCCAACTGCCTCTGCACATTCGGAGGTCCTCACTCCTGTGCGTCAGCCGCTGGAGCAGACGCTGCTAGGGCCTCGTTGCTTCAGCCCCGCCTCACTGCTGGCAGTTGTATATTTTAAGGACTAAAGCCAACCACAGCAGGCATTGTGCTAAGCTCTTTGCTGGTATTATCTCAATTTACTCTCACCCCAAGGAGGTTAAGCCCTATTTTCCTTCTATTTAGAGGATGATAAACCTGAGACTTAGAAGACATAGGCTCAGTGTCACCCGTGTCCTAAGTGGCATAGTGACATTTGACTTCAGATCCAAGCTCATTCTTGATCTGGTGAGAGAATGAACTTATGTCCTTCAAATAGCATCAAGAGAACCAGAGTTATAGAACCGGGGAAGAGGAAACCCCAGGACTATAAGCCTGGCTCTCAGGCCCTGAGAAGGGCTGTTTAGTTCCAAAGGACAGGCAAAGAAGCTGCAGGAGAAGCACTACATTGGAGGCAGATTTCAGGCTAAACTGCAGTGGACGTGCTGAGCCCCTACCACAGGGGGTATGCGCAGTGGATGGGCACTTGGCCAGCCTGCTGGAAAGAGGTGTCTTATATCAGCAGGGGGTAGGGTGGCATGACCTGGGGGCCCCACAGCCATACGAGGCCCTGCTTCTAGTTAGGGTTAGGAACTGCACAGGACAGAACTGGAGAGGCTGTTCCTCCTGCCTTTCTCAGCGCAGAGTCCGAAGATGCTCACTGAGCTCTAGAAGATGCTTGTCAGCAAGGGGACACTGCGTGCAGTTAATAAACATCAGCTGAGCACCCGCTGTGTTCCAGGCAGTGAGCTGGCCTGGTCTCAGTGGGGCAGGGCCTCTGAGGCCACACTGCCTGCTCACTCTGCTGCCTGCCCCTTTTAGAAGCCCACACCAGACAGCTTGAGGAGCCCTTCTTCACACCAGTGATGGCTGCCTGCATATCCATCATGGCCTTGTTGCTGCTCTTGCTGCTGCTGCTCTTGTACAAGTACAAGCAGGTGAGCTGGGAGGTTGGGAGGGGGTGGGGTGGCCAGGCCGTGGGACTAGGCTCTGGCACAGCCAGATTTGGACTTCATCACCAAGCTGCACGGATCCACTCTTCGGCCTCCATTCCCCACTTCCCTCACTGTCAGTCACGCGGCAAGAAGCTCTTTAGTAGGCGCCTGTTGTGCGTCAACACAGGTGAGGCATAGCCTCTGACCCTCTGCCCCGTAGGCTCTACTCTCCAGGGCAGGGGTCGCTGTGACACTGAGGGTGCACCTTACAGAGTTGGTGCCAGGATCCTGAGGGAGCTGAATCATGGGACCCTGTTCCAGCCCAGGCTTCTAGCTGCCCAGCAGGTGAGGTGGGCACACAGAGAGCATCTCTGGGGCAACTTGTAGAGGAGGAAATGCCCTGGTTATCGCCATCCTCTTTATTATTTAGTATGATTACTGATGACAACTGCCAAGACTCAAACCCAAGTCTGCTATGTATTTAGGACACTGCCTGTCTGGCTGCCGGGCGGTAGTGACTCAGGTGCATTTTATGAAGCATGCTACCTACATCGTCTCACTAAATGCCCTCCGCAGTTGTGTGCAGGTGGCACTGCTAACCCCAATTAAGAATCAGAAGCTGAGGTCCTGAGAGGCTGAGACAGTTGTCCTAGTCTATGGCTGCTTAGTGATAGAGTCTGCTTTTTTAAGCTGATGGGACTCATCTCCAAACCATGCATTTAGCCATTATGTGAAACAGCAAATCCTCTTATTTTACCCTTACAACAACCCAGAGGCAAGGGAGATAGGTGTCAGCATTCTGCACATCAGGACTCTGAGCTCAGCAAGGCTGAGGAACCTTCTATGTCAGAGAGCTGTGGTTGGCACTGGGTCCCAGGGCCTCCACCACCTGGCCAGCTAAGCCACCTCCTCACACAAAAGATGATGACCACTGCACTTGGAAGCCCAGAGGGCTCGGGCCAGAAGCCTGGGGGGTGTGTCCAAGGTTGAGGTTTCTCCCACAGCCGTGGAGAAGGGAGACTGGAAGAGGTGGCCTGACCTTAACAGGATAGGCATTGGAGGCTGGAGGAGCAGCAGGGGACGTGAGACTCAGGAAAAGGTACTCCGAGTGTGTGCAGAGGAGCAGGTGAGCCGAAGACCGAGGCGGGCTCCAGAGGGGGCACCTACGAGAGGAGGCAGAAAGGGCGTGGTTGAGGGTCCAAGGGATAGAGCCCTTCCTGCAGGTCCAGGGATGTCAGTGGGTTTGAACAAAGAGTGATTAAGGGATGGGTAACCCTTGTGTGTCCCTTCTGTGGCCTTCTCCTGGCCATCCTTGCCTTGAGGATCTGGGGAGCCAAGGACCTGAGCGGAAGTGGGCAGGATGGGTGGACAGGTGAGGGCAGTTGTGAGTCAGGCTCCCTGTGCCTGTGCAGCATCTTGAATGAGAAGGTGGCTCTCATGGAGCCCCCAGGAAAAGAGATCCAGGCTAAGACTCCGGGGATCCTGGCCCAGCTAGACACGGTTTTCCCAGGTGACTATGGCTGACTCACTCTGTTCCCAGCCTCAGCTTTCCCTCCTGCACAGTGGAGCTGGGTGGTCCTTTAACAGCCCTTCCCTAACAGGAAGCTCCTGATGATGGTCTGCTTTAAGAGCCAGGGGTAGGAGTGGATGATCAAGGTCCAAATCATGGCTCTGCTGGCCTCTGCCTATGGGACCACAGGAAAGCTGGCACCTCCAGGCCTCTAATAATGGAAGGCTATGGAGAGGATCCCCTGACCTGATGCTTGTAAAGGACTGGACAGGGTGCCAGGTACAGACTGCTCTGTGGCAGAGTATGGGCCCTCATCTCAGGAGGAAGTTGAATGGGGAACCCAAGTTAGTCTGAGGTTGGGCATCTCCTTGACTACACCCCCAAAGTTGTTGGGCCCTGCTGGCCACCTCCAGAGACTAGACCTTACTCATTCCTGTGGGGGCCCGTTCCTTCTCTGAATACTCGGCGAGTGCAAAATTTCTCCTTATATGGAACTGGGAACTACTTTCCAGGACCCAGGAGCTACTTACTGCCTGGCCCAAGCAGCCCCAGAGATGCCCAGAAGGGCCCAGGACTCCTACAACCCTTTCTGCCTGCTGGGCTGTGGTTTATGCTTTCTCTATGGGGCCATTTTTAGAACATGTATTCTCAGTCATGCCTTTATTTCCCATCTAAGAAATCCAATTGCGCCTCACGCCTGCTCAAGACTCAAACCCAAGGCCCTGGGTCCCTCTACCCCAACATCCATTCACACACCCTTGAGCTCCCCTAAACCAAAGTGTCCTCCAAGACAAGAGAGCTCAAGTCAGTCACCCCCGCCTCAGGGCCCACATCCAGTACTCCTTTGCTTTGCCCCTTTGCTAGGCACTTAGCCCAAGCTGTCCTCAGTGCCCAGGCCTGGGGTGAGGAGTGGTCCCATCTGTGAAAGGGTTGCTTCTGACTCAGAGCTGAGTCATCACCCTTCTGTCCCCTGAAGAGACCAGAGGAGGGGAGCAAGGAGGAAGAGGAAAGGGCAGGAGTCAGCAGGCTTCGAGGAGGGACCCAGGGAGGAAGGGTGGGCATAGAGGAAGGGTGGTTGAGGGCACTGGAGAAACTAGATTCTGGGGCCTGGAACTGAGCTCCGAGGACAAGAGGGACCTGCAGGGATTCTCTCGGGGAACTGCTCAGCTCTCCCCCTTCCTGAGGCAGAGCACTCACTGCTCAGAACTAGCCAGCCCGGATGGGGAGGGTGGTGGGACTTCGGTGTCTGTTCTCACTTCAACCCCAGAAGGGAAGTTAGGGGTGAGCACGGACGTGGGCTGGGTTATGGGAACAGAGGAGATGACGTCCATGAGCGTCCGGTCCGGGGTCCTACCGTGGAAGTGCTCAGGAAGCACCTACTGTTGCCATTCCGACCTCCACTCCTGTCCTTAGGAAACTGGCCGAGGTGGCCACACTAGAGGCACAGGGGAACCTGTTCAGAGATGGCCCAGGTTCCTCAGAGGAGCAAGAAAAGGGTGGGGTCCTGGAGCAGGCAGGTAGGCAGGAGCTCGGCACTGGCATCTGGGATTTAGAGATGTGAGATTCCTCTCTTGACTCCCTCCCTTTGCCCCTGCCAGCCGGAGTGGGGAGCAACTGACTGAGACCGGCTGCATGGGGTCAGAGAAAGGAGAAAAAATGGCCCTGGCCACAGAGGCTCCTGAGATGGATGCAGCCAGGAGAGGTCAGAGGACCCCTCCCGGCTCCACTTATGACCTCTTTTAGGTGACACAGATGCCCGCGTGTAGGGTTTGAATCCTCGGAGGCTTGGGAAGCTCCTCCCAGGTCACATCTCAGACTCTCCTCCCACTCTGTGACGTGGACGCCCTTACGCTTACCTGTAGCCCGCCCTCGCCACCCAGAGCCCCGAAGTTCTTTCTCGAATCTATGGTTTTTTTTTTCCTCCCAAATTACCAGCTGGAAGTTCTTCCCTATACCTGTCAAGAATCTTTCTCTTAACCTGGCAAGATGAGCAGCCTGTGGGTACACAGGGAAGGCCCCCAGCTGCTAAGCACAGCTGAGCCAGTCTGTTCCCGAGGCCTCACCCAGGAGAGTTGGTCTGCTGACCCAAGGCCTCAGGGTCCTCCGCCTCCCCTCCTGGCTTCCACTTTCCCCCTAAACTTGGCCTTTCCTCAGCACTTCTTGTGGGCAGCTGTTGGCATGATGCCCCTGTGCAGCTGCCTGGGGGCAGGAAGGAGAGGTGGCCGCTCCTCTGCCCCAGGCTGGGTGGAAACAGCATAGAGAGCTGCCGAAGGAGCCGAAGCCCGCCAGAACAGAGGCACAAATCCAGGGACACCGTCTGCCACCCTCCCGTCTCAGCCTTGGGGACCTTCTTGCCTCTAGACCCTCCCTTTACCTCCCCTGTCCATAACGGCCCCTCCCTGGCCCTCAGCTGCCAGTGTATTTCCCCCTTCAAGATTAGCATTTGTGTACACTATGCTTGGAAAACTTACAGCTGGCTCCTTGGATGCCTTGTTTCACATTACCACTCTCTCGCCCGTTAACCTGCTTCATTTTCTTCTCAGCACAAACCGAAAATTTCCCACACGTACACTTTTGAGTTGAAAGTATTCTTCGCGTGAAAATGCAAACTGCATGTGGGCCCAGCATCTGTCTTGTTTAACGTGGAAACAACTGCAGCTCGCACAACTAGATGCTCTTAAAGTAGTCGGATGGGACTGCTGCTCAGCCTTAAACAGAAGGGGAATTCTAACATACTCTAAAGGCAGGGATGAGCTGCAGCGACATTGTGCTAAGTGAAATAAGCCAGTCACAGGAGGTTAATGTTTGCAGTTCCATTCCATAAAATACAGAACAGTAAAATTCATAGATACAGGAAGTAGCACCTCGGTAGGTAGAGGCTGGGAGGAAGGAAGAATCAGGAGTTGTCTTGTAATAGGTGTCAGATTTCAGTTTGGCAGTATGTGTGCTGGAAATTGGTTGTGCAACAGTGTGAATGAATCTCATAGTGAAGTGCACATTTAAAAATGGTTGAGATGGTAAATGTTATGTATATTGCTCTACAATTAAAAATAGAAGTAGGGAGGGCCGGGGATTTAGCTCAGTGGTTCCGACACCTGCCTCACAAGCACAAGGACCCGAGTTCGATCCCTGGTACCAAAAAATAAAAGAAAATAAAACAAAAAATTAAAATAGGGGTCCTGGGATGTAGCTCAATGGTGCTGTGCCTGCCTGGCAAGCATAAGGTCCTGAGTTTGCTTCCAGGTTCCACCAAAAAATAAAAACTAAAAAAATAGGGTGTTGCCCAGTGGTAAAACATGTGGGTAACTATGAGCGAGGCCCTAGGTTCAAACCCAACACTGCGACATAAAGAAAAAATAAAAATAGAAACTAAACAGATGAGAAGATAGGCAAGTGGGTAAGTGAATGAATATATCTCAAGCTCTACTCTCTTTCCTGGCCCAGTAATTACCAGAATTATCAGAGATATAAAATTCTCAGAGGCCTTCAATGCACGAATAGGGGAGCTGAGGCTTGGAGAAGGGAGGGACTCACAGTAAGACAGTCCAGCAGCGCCTGGCTGTCAGGGTTGTGTGGATGAGATGCCGTGACCCTGGGCACATAGCTGGGCTCAGCCTGTCCTCATCCTTGAGTGCTTTGGAATTTCCCTCGCCCACTGCTCCTAAGAGATGAGATCTAAGATCAGTCTGCCAGACCCAGCTACAGGTGTCTCTCCCTCCTTCTGCAGAAGCCCAAGTATGAAGTGCGCTGGAAGATCATTGAGAGCTATGAGGGCAACAACTACATCTTCATCGACCCTGCCCAGCTGCCCTACAATGAGAAGTGGGAGTTCCCCCGAAACAACCTGCAGTTTGGTGAGATGGGGTTCAAGAACCCCAATGCCCTCCCTTCCAGTGGGGGCTGTAGGAAGCCTGTGGGCCCTGAGCAATAAATCCTTTAGTACCCAGGGCCCTAAGGAGTCTGTGTATATGGCAGGTAAGACCCTTGGAGCTGGCGCCTTTGGGAAGGTGGTAGAAGCCACAGCCTTTGGTCTGGGCAAAGAAGACGCTGTCCTGAAGGTGGCTGTGAAGATGCTGAAGTGTGAGTGACAGACACAATGGAGTCTGGGGGCAGGGGCTGGGAATCGGTGTAGCTGGGGGTGGCACCACTCCCATTTCAGCCTGCTGGAACTTGGGAGATAGAGCCCAGGAGGGTAGGACTTAGCTCTTCATGTGAACCCATTCTTCCCATGGCTCCTGGCTTGGAAGAGGTCTTGGTCAACTTTTGGATGGGGAAGGGCTTCTGAGAGACTCAGGGGGTATAGGGTGCGTGGAAATAACCTAGGGCCATGGCCTAATTATAGCTTGTCTGTCCTGTTGCTCTGGGACCAGGTCAGTGACAGGCCCATCCCTCTCTTTTTCTCTCCCTCCAATTTGTGTTTCTGTATCTCTCCTCCTCCCTCTTTTGGTCTTTGGTCCTTCTGGGCCTTTGGATACCTCCTGCTTGCTCTGACCTATGGCCCCATCTCCCAGCCACAGCTCATGCGGATGAGAAGGAGGCCCTCATGTCAGAACTGAAGATCATGAGTCACCTGGGCCAGCATGAGAACATAGTTAACCTTCTGGGAGCCTGCACCCATGGAGGTAAGCGGTGGCCTGGTGGGAATGGGGCCTATGGTCTTGGGGCCTTTTTGGGTATCTCAGGGCCCTGGGCACTCCTAACCCTAAGTTCCCTTTATCTGTTCCAAATGCCACTAGGAGCCCTGCCTCAGCACCCTTGAAATTCCTAGGCCTGACTCCTGGACTAGGCAGGAGCTACTAAGGGGTGAAGTGACCAGCTCTGCAAATCTCTGGTCCATGGTTCACAGACATCTCTGAGCATCAGAGCCCTTGGTGAAGGAGATAAAAGTAGAGATTTCTGGCTGGGTGTGGTGACATGTGCCTGTAATCCAGCACACGGGGATGGGTGGAGTGGAGAGAGGATCGCTCTGAGTTTGTGGCCAGCCTGTGCTACTTAGTGAGTTCAAGGCCAGTCTGAACAATATAGTGAGACCCTGTGTCAAAACATCCCTGCCCAAAGTGCAGATTTCTGGACCCTGCTTCCAGAAGATCTGATTCTGTGGGTCTAAAGTCCCCAAATCTATGCTTTTTCTGTTTTGATTTGGTACCAGGAATCGGACTCAGGGCCTCATGCTTGCCAGGCAGGTGCTGTACCACTGAGCTACATCTTCAGGCCCCAAAGTCTATATTTTAAGAAGTCCCTACCCAAAGATGCTTGGACACTTGCTCCAGGGACCTCAGAGGTGTCCCAGGGCCCCACGTTTCACCCTATATCAAATTGCCATAGATTTCTTTTCTTTCTTTTTTCTTTTTTGTGGTACCAGGGATCGAACTCAGGACCTTGCCCTTGCCAGGCAGGCAGTGGCACCACTGAGCTACAGCCCCAGCCCTCCGTAGATTTCTTTTGAAGGAAGAATTGTTGGGCTTAATTTTTTGTTTGTTTTTTAGTTACACTGGTGGGATTACTAAGACATCAAGAAATCTGATCAGAGCCAGAATTCAAATTTAGGTGTTGAGTCCCAGGCCTGGGGCTTAAGTGCCCTGACCCCATGCTGCTGCTCACACTGCACTCTTGGCTGCTCTAGGTCCTGTCCTGGTCATCACTGAGTACTGCTGCTATGGCGACCTGCTCAACTTTCTGCGAAAAAAGGCTGAGGCCATGCTGGAGCCCAGCATGCATCCAGGCCAGGACCCTGAAGGGGATACTGGCTACAAGAACATCCACCTGGAAAAGAAGTATGTTCGCAGGTAGTACTCTGGCACAGGACAGGAAGGAGCCAGGATGGGGAGGTGGGACCCAGGTCTGTCTGCAAAGCCAGCTCGAGTGGGTGGCCCTTATCTGCCAGTTTGTGCCATGAGGAGTAGCCACCTAGGTTTTATAGTAGCTCTGCTTTTCTACCACATATTACCATCACTCAACAAATACTGAGTACCCACCCTGTTGGGCGGTGGACGGCAATGATGGGAGCTCCTAGGCTGACCTTAACGTATGTAACAGATCAGCCCAGACTCAAGCTTGGCCAGAGGTGGGAAGGCTTGGGGAATACTTGGTTTCTCCCACCCCATGTGTGTGGAGGCTGCGGACTACCTATCCCACTTAGGAGTGGCTGGGCTCAGTCCCCACATCACTGTGGAGAACTGGGAGCAATCAACTGTGGGGTGAGAGAGGAACAGCACGATTGTGGGCAGCTCCTGGCTTCATGCTGGCCTCAAGTTCCCCAGATGAGCCTTCGCAGTGGCGAACTGCTCAAGGTTTTGCTGCCTCTGTTGTTCTATGATGCTGTGATTCCTGGAAGCCACACAGAGGCGGATGGACAGAGCCCTATGGGGAACTGGAGCGAGGAAGTGGCAAGTTTCATATCACCCTTGAGTTAAGGCAGAGGCAATGCTGAGCTACCTTGCCTTCGTGTCCTTGGGGGCAGCGCTTACCTTAGCACACTGGTGGGGGACTGGTGGCACCCGGGAGCTAGACAGCAGCCACAACCAAATCAGGACAAGAAGGGTGCACATTGTGTTCTTATCCTAAGTACTGGCAGCTGCCAGCCCTGGGGAAGCAAAAGGAGAAGGAGACCATCTTTCTTGCTCTGTCCCCTCAGAAATTCGGGTCTGCTTCCTCTTCTGACACTGACATCCTTCAGAGAGGGTGACACACGCTGGGCAGGATGGAACCCGTAGAGCCAGGTCAAATAAAAATGAGTACCAAAGCACAGAATTTGCTTCTGTCTTCAAATCTGCACACAGAGAAAGTATTCTGAGTGGGAAAATTGCAAGGGCAAGTGGCATAGGAACCAATGCTTCCAATGGGATCCCAGCCTATGTTAATATAGAGGTATCATTTGCAGAACAAGTGAAAGAGTGGTTATGCCAAGGTCACGTCTATAAACAAAACACTGGTTCTCTTTGTGGGAACACTAGAGTACGCTCACCTCAAGGCGCATATCCCCAGTGCAGCGGGGTAGGAGGTAAGGTGTTCAGAAATCCTACATGATGGGACTGTTAGATGCAGTAGGTGGCTCTGAAGTCACCTACTGCCCAAGAGCACGCATCACCATGGGGCTGCTAGAAACTCTGGTCTCAGGCCTAACGGCTCAAACCTGCTGAGTCACAATCTACACTGGGAGGAGATTCCCTGGGTGGTTCAGCTGCACATGGGTCTGTTTAAACTGCTCTCACCTAGCCCCAGGGAGATGGAGAGCTGGGAGTGGCTGTGTTTGCCCCACTTCAGAGAGTGGTTTGAGCATGGAAACATTCAAAGTTCCCTAAGGATTTTTATGTGAAGCCAGGGGTGAGAGCCAGCTGTGAAGAGAGGAGATGGCTCTAAGAAGGGAACACAGAATTTGCTCAACTTCCAGCAGGACTGTTATGGGGAAAGGCACAACTTTTTGGTGGCTCTTGATAGAGCAAAGACCGGAAGAGGAAAGTCCCAGGGGCCCACTGACATGAGGAGCAGAGAACTGTCAGGCAGAGCTGCCCACAGGATGACTCGAGGTCCCTTTCCTGTCTTTCCCTTCCCTTCTCTTCCCTTGCCTTTCTTGCCCTTTCCTTCGGAATGGCTAGGAGAGTTCACGGGGCAGCTGGAGGCTGAAGCCTAAGGTCGGCAGCACAGCAATGGGGACAGACCGCCCCTCATCCCTCTCTCCTGTGTAGGGACAGCGGCTTCTCTAGCCAGGGTGTGGACACCTACGTGGAGATGAGGCCAGTGTCCACTTCCTCAAATGACTCCTTCTCTGAACAAGGTGAGGATGTACCAGGACCAGGAGAGAGGCAAGAGATTGTTGGGAGGCAGGGGATGGGGCCAGGGAAGAACCCGGCTGTGACAGGGCTGCCCTGATGCCTCTTCCCATCCCAGACCTGGACAAGGAGGATGAACGGCCACTGGAGCTCTGGGACCTACTGCACTTCTCCAGCCAGGTGGCCCAGGGCATGGCCTTCCTCGCTTCCAAGAATGTAAGTCAGAGCTGCCCTTGGCGTTCAGGCTGCCAGTGGGGTTGGTCATTGAGCCCCTCTATGGGGCTCAATGCATGAGAACAAAGGAGAGGAAAGGGGAGGTGGTGGGGGTGCGGGAAGAAGTGGACTGTAAGAGAGCAAGTGGGCAGCGGCCTCCAGGGGCCTCAGGAGGGGATGGAAGACAGCTGTGCCCAGGTCGGTTTCCTCAGGAGGGGTGGGGCCTCCACCTGACAAAGTGTCTATCTCCAAGTGTGATCCAGGAGGGTAACAGTTCCCCAGAGATAGATACATATATACTTGGGATTGAATTCGGGACCTTGCACTTGCCAGGCAAGTGCTGTGCTGCTGAGCTATAGCCCCGGCCCCCAAACAGGTTTTATTTGCTCATTTTCATTGAACACTGTAAAAAGCTTGACAGTTGTCTCTGCTGATGCACATGGTCTCATGGGATGAAACCAGAACATTCCTCACAGGGTTGGGAGGACATCAGAGCATGTATGAAATGTGCCCAGGAATGGCAGTTCTAATTATTATCCTCAGAACAGACTTGGGAGTCAATGGCTTGATTGCGACTTTGCCACTTGCATGACTGAGTAACTGATTTAAGTTGTTCTGAGCCTCATTCTCTTTATCTATAAAAAATGGCATAATCACAGAATTGTCTGAGGGAGAAACAGAGCTTTCATGTGTACTAACACTTAGGGAGGGACCGGGCCTGGTGCTGTGAAACCCTGAAGGTGGCAGCTGTTGCTGTTATCAGTGAAAGGATGGGTCAGGGATTGTGCACAGCTCGGGATTATTGCTTCTGGGGCCATGGGCCGACCACCCCACTCAGAAGCAGCTCCTGCTGCTCAGAGCCAAATAGCTAAAAGGGCCAGGGAGGCAGGGTGGTGGTAGCTTCTAAACGCTGCGCACATTACATTTTCTCAAACCTTGAGCTGCGGTAGACTTGGGCAGGAGCTAAGGGTAGAGGACATCCACTCCCTCAGTGGGGACCTTGGGGCCTTGTGGGGGCCCCTCTGTCCCTCCTCACCTCTGGCTCAGGTAGGGGAGGGCTGAGACTAACCCTGCAGTGCTTCCCCTCAGTGTATCCACCGGGACGTGGCCGCTCGAAATGTGCTGTTGACCAACGGGCATGTGGCCAAGATTGGGGACTTTGGGCTCGCTAGGGACATCATGAATGACTCCAACTACATCGTCAAGGGCAATGTGAGTGCTGGGAAGGAAGGGATGCGCTGGACTAGGGAAGGGTCAGAAAGCCAGGGTCCCAAATAACTAGGATGATCTTTCCAGGCCCGCCTGCCTGTGAAATGGATGGCACCGGAGAGCATTTTTGATTGTGTCTACACGGTTCAGAGCGACGTCTGGTCCTACGGCATCCTTCTCTGGGAGATCTTCTCACTTGGTGAGCCCACCCTGGGGCTGGCTCCTCTTTGACTTCCCGTCCAGTGTTGTACCTCATGGAGGAATCTAGTTAAGGATGCCTGGTGCCCAGAACAGCACAAGGGCTGGTGGAAGTAAAGGGATGGGCAAGAGCTTTCAAATCCAGCATCACACTTCTGGGCTTGGCAGCCCCTTCAGTGCTGACACAAACAGCCTCGGAGCCTTTTCTGCACTTGTTCCCCTTGTGCAGTTGCTTTTGTCCCCAAATGACCAAAATGACCTACCCTGCAGAGTAGCTCTAGTTAGTAGCTTCCATCCTGAGGACTAGGCACGGGGATTTGTGCCAAGCCCTCAAATACACTGCTCTACTGACTTCGTAACACCTGGCATAGTCCCCACTTTACCAACACACCACTGAAGCTTTCTTCGGTCTGCCTGACTGCACAGCTATGCTGTAGTTCTCTGAGTGGCATGGTAATGCCTGGTGGAAGAGGCTCTCACCTCCCCAAGTCTAAGTACAGTGCACGCCGTATAGTAAGCTCTGGGGAGGAGTAGCTGCTGCTCTGGGGCCAGAGTCCAGGTGGGATCCCTCTTCACACACCTCATTGGGATGCATGTTGGTGGGGGAAGAAGGCAGCAAGCAGTATATGGCCCTTTACACGATTGTGGCCTTTGCAGGGCTGAACCCCTACCCTGGCATCCTGGTGAACAGCAAGTTCTACAAACTGGTGAAAGATGGATATCAAATGGCCCAGCCTGCCTTTGCCCCAAAGAACATGTATGTGAAAGGGTCTCAGGGTGGGAAGAGGATGCCCAGGCTTGGTTGGAAGGGGCTGGAATGGGTATGTGGTCTTGGTCTTTCTCTCCCCAAAATGCTCCAGGGCTAGATTTCATCTCCTCACAGTAGACTCTAAAATAAGCTCCCTTTCCCCTAGTTCAGGGTTTCCACTGGTTTCCCAGGTAGGGTGGGGAATGTTCTCAAAGAAGCTCTGAACCGGGGCAGGCCCTTTAATTCAGACTTATTACTATGACCTTGAGGATACCAGACTCATCTGTCAAAATGGGGGTGATGAGAATACGTTCTCCAAGAGTTACCGTAGGGATTGAGGTAAAGCATGCCAAAGACACAGCGTAAGTTTGGTACCAAACACTTTTTCTCCACCCGTGCTAGAGATGGGACATGGAGCCCCATGCGTGCTAGGCAAGCAATCTACCACTGAGCTCCATCTGCAGCCCAAACTCACTTTGGACCATGTGTGAGGACCTCCATCTGACAGGGCTCTGTAGGGATGTACGCAGTAGTCCCTAGACACCGAGGAGCTTCACATGGGCAACTTCTGTCCTATCTCCAGATACAGCATTATGCAGGCCTGCTGGGACCTGGAGCCCACCCACAGACCCACTTTCCAGCAGATCTGCTTCCTCCTCCAGGAGCAGGTCCAAGCAGAGAGGAAAGAGCAGGTGAGCAGGGCTTGGTACAGAGTGGCTGGAGGGCTCGGAGAGCATGCTTGGCTGGGCCTAATGCTCTGGACTGATCCTGGTGCCTCCCACCCTCAGGACTACGCCAATCTGCCGAGCAGCAGCAGTGGTGGTGGTGGCAGCAGTGGTAACAGCAGCAGCAGCAGCAGCAGCGGCGGCAGCAATACCAGCGGTGGCAGCAGCAACAGTGAGGCAGAGGAAGAGAGCTCCAGCGAGCATCTGGCCTGCTGTGGGCCAGAGGACGTCACCCAGCCAATGCTGCAGCCCAACAACTATCAGTTCTGCTGAGGTGGTGATGACAGGAGTACTGCCTCTCCCCACTGCCAAGCTTCAACTCCTCATGGATGGGGCAATGTGGGGAGAACACAGAAACTCTGCCCTTGGTTGTTTCCACAGCTTGGCCCAGCTCTAAAACCTGGGAATGTGAAGGGTCTGGGGAGGTCGAGACCCCACTCCTGGAGTCTGGGCCACCACTGCCATTTAGGGGCTGAGCCCTTTCCACCTTCCCCCACTGTTCTCAGGATGTTGGACTCATGTTCACTATGACAACTCACTCCTACCCATGTCTGCACTTCCCTTCCCAAATCCCTTATGTCTCCATGGAAACGGACTGTTTGGATGAAGTGCCTGGATGTTAGAAAACAAGGCTCCTCGGGGCCAGGCAACCCAGCAAGTGGTGGGACTGCAGGAGTGCAGCAGGAGAGGACAAGTGCTCAGACCACAGGTCCCCGGGGCAAGGTGGTTCCTTTGTGTGACTCTAATGGGACCTTCAGCCTCCTTCTCTCAGCAGCCCACCGCACCCTGGGTTTGGCACTGCTGCAATGAGCCACATGGCAGCTAAATGTGAGGGGTGCTCTGCCCAGTTCCGTCATTCTGGCCTGGAAGGCAGAGGACCTTGGTGTGTGGCTGGCCACACCAATCAAAAAGCTCGCAGTCCCCCAAGCTGACACATGATAACTAACAGTCACGCTGCGGGATGTTCTTTGTAAACATTAAACTAACAGCATTAACACAGCCAGCCTCTGGTATTTTGCGTCACATATGCCTGCAAACTCCTTGGGATCTTCTCTGTTCCGCCTTGACATGAAGTGACAAGTCCAGGACCCTGGAAGTTAAACCACACTGTGCCCCACACAATGAGCAGGGAACTGGCCTACTTCATCAAAACCAGATAATTTAATAAACTTTATTCTTGTTGGGGGAAGGGGGGAAGCCACCTACTCCACTCCTCTCAATAAATTAAAACACTTGGCCTGTTCCTGGGCCCTAAGCAAACCATGGGCACGAGCCAGTCCTGCTGTTTCCGTGTGGCCCAGTCTGCTTCCCCTTCACAGAAGGGAGTTTTCCTACTGCTGCCAAGTTATGTCTCAGGGCCTTGGGCCACATCCCCTGTGGTGAGGGTCCCAGGGCCCAGAGAGGATGGAGGGTGCAGCAGCAGTGGCCAGGAAAAGGAGGAAGGGGATCATCTTTCCCAAAGCTCAAGGAAGAGGACAGTCCTGGAAGAAAACTGTGGCTGACTGTTCCTCCCTCCTCAGTTTCCCCCAAAAGTGGTACAGGAAGAACTGGAGAAAAATGCATCCCTCCTTTGGGAAGAATCAAGAGCCCACAGAGATGCCTAGTATGAATGAGGCCACCAAGGCCCCAGAGGCAACAGGCTAGGGAGCTTGTGTAGCTCTAGGGTTGGACCAGGTTTCCCCAGATGGGAAACCTCACCTAGTGCGGACTGCTGGATCAGCCCAACCCAGATCTCCACCCGATGCTCCACATGCATCAGGCCTCAGGGAGCTGGCTACCAGCCCTTCCCTCTCGCTTCCCCACCCTCCCTCCAGCATTACTTCCCACAAGCGCTTTCAGGGCCTGAAGGGGTTTCCTGACCAGTTCTGAGCCTGAGGGCAGAGCAGCGTGACTCTGGGCCCTGGTATGCTCAGGAAATGGAAGCTCTTTGGTCGGTCCCAGCAGTCGTGACCCTGCAGGGGTCACTGCACTGCCTCTGCAGGCCCCTGGACAGATTTGCCTTGGGCACAGGCTGTATATGGCTTGAGATGATGCAGTTCTTGGCTTATTCTGCCACTATGGCCACCTCCTCTTCCTCACCCTCTTCCTCAGGCTCTGTCTTGATCTGAGCAACCCCAAGGCGGTAAAGGGTGTCACGAATGACCACCTCGCCAGGCTGGCAGTTCTGTACAATGTCATGGATCTGCCTGTTGACGATTTCACGGCTGGTGAGGAAGTCCATGAGGCGGTTGTAGAGGTAATAGTGGGTGGCGTTGTCAAAGGCAATGGGACGCTGGCGGACATTATTTGACTTGCTGTCCATAATGGAGGCTAGGATAGATGCATAGGGCGCCAGTTCAGGGCATAGGGATAAGGAGTGGTGCCCAGCACTGGGGTCACCAGGACTGGGCTGTGTGCCTGCATGAACGATGCGCCGAGCCGCACTCTTGGTGATTGGGTGCTGGACAGTGTGCTCAGCCTCTGTCATGTCCACAGAATTATGCTGGTCCAAAAGCTCGGGGCAGGACACAGTCTACAAGAGAGACAAGAAGCCAGCTTGACAAGAGAAAATGACCAAGGTATGTATTGTAGCTGGTGAGAGCAAAGGCCAGCCTTGTTTAAATCCTAGCAATGTGGTGTAGTTTATCTCCTAGATCAAACATCATGCCCCTCTCTCTGCCTCAGTTTCCTCGTGACAAGAGGGACAGAATAGCGCTCACCCCACAGAACAGAAGCTGGATTACTTCAGCTGCTATTATCATTGTACACAGTCAATTCAGGCCGCAGGGTGAGAACCACCTCAGAAGGAGGGAGGCTATAACCTTTTCTGAGCCAAAGCACAAGCTGCTGGAACCCGGGAGTGATGACAACAATGTCCCCTCCAAGGCAAAGCCAGAGGCATCCTTTCCCAAATATACAGCGTTGGGGCACTCACTGTTTATCCGATCCTTCACCTCTTCCTAGCATCTGTGCTGAAGGTGAGCCCTGGAGGGCACGTGACTGCTCAGAGTCTGCCTGGCACAATTTACCAAGACACAGAGACATGGGTTCTGCCCTGCCATGGATCTGCTGTGAACTCTGGTCAAGGCCATTTCCTGCTCTAGGCCTTAGTTTCCTCAAAGAAAAAAGAGGTGGGGGGGTGGTCAGAGAAGATCAGTGTTGAGGGCTTAACCCAGGGTCTAGTTGGGTTGGGATTCTCAAAGGTGGACATCTTTCAAGTTTATCTGGAAAGCAAGCTCTTTTAACACAAGATACCTCTGGAATACCTCAAGCACACTACACAACACACTATGGCAGTCATACAGTGGTAACTCAGTAAGAAGTTGTGGAGTAAATGCTGGTTCCAGCACATCAAGACCAGATACTGGTGGAGAAAAAGAATGCTAGCAATGGTTTCCAAGAAGGCTGAACCCCTTGAAGAGCCAGGGGAGTAGAACATATTCAACTGAGAGACTTATTCCAGTTTCTCAGGAGGAGACTCACCATAGGTGGCTCTGTAGGGCTAGAGAAACAGCCCTGGTTCTTCCCCCACATTTGGCTGGTCAGCTCTGGGTAGCACAGGTCAGCACACAGGGCCACAGGTGTGGCCATGTCCACCACATAGACAGGTGGCCAGTGACGGGAAGAGGCAAGCAGATCCACGTGGTCACGGGCACTCTCACCTCGAACAAGATACTTAGAGCCACAAACCACCTGGAGGGAGATGGAGGGGCCAGCCAGGGTTAAGGAGCTCTAACTCCAACAGTAGTCCTTGCTCACTTAATCCCAAGAAGGTGAACACTCAAGTTTATGACTAAGCCAGGGCCATTTTACCGGAGTCCATGACATTCTACGATCCTCCTAATTCTGTCCCTGAATGAAGTCATTGGCTCATCCTCCTGAAAGGAGAGCTGGGCCATCCTGTCCTCGATTTAGGCTGAAGGGCACTTCGGGGCATTTCTTCTGAGCTCCACTCCTTCCACAGTACTACCAAGCATCACCTAGCAGTTCCTAATCCTACCTGCATAGCACCAGTAGCTAACAGCTGGTTAAAGATGGAGACTCGGGCCCCAGCCCAAGCCTAAATTATGGTCTTTGGGTCTAATCATTTGTATTTGAGGAAGCTTTTCACCTGACCCCAATATGCTGACCAGATGGGAGGTCCTGGTGTAGTCTAGGGCTCCCCCAGGCTCCAGCACCACTTCATTCCACTTTGATCAATTCTGGGTACAATGGAGAATCCTGCTTTCACACCCACCTGGCAGTTGGTTCCAAGTCATACACTGCCCCTCACAGCCCAAGACTGCTCTTCAACTGCTTTTCACGAGAGGATCCCTCCAGTCCCACATGTACCACCCAGTGAGCAGGCTCTGATCTACCCAAGTGGAACCAGATCCTTTAGATACAGCTTTTGTCCAAGGGCTTGACAGATTCATTCTCTTTCTACAGTTGTCCTGTTGACTCAAACATCTCAGTGAACTGAGGCTCTGTCGAGGACGCTGTGTACCCTATTCAGTACTTAATAGCCCAGGGTTCTGTATTACAATATCTTCCTAATCGTTCTCTGTCATCAAGTATACAACCTGTCCTGGAGCTATCCTAGTGCCTATTGCATCCATACCTTCTAAAGACATATGGAATGGTCTTCCCAAAGACAAACTCAAGCTGGGCCCAGTGGCATATGCCTGTAATCCCAGCTATCTGGGAGGTTACGGTAGGAGGAGGAAAACAAGTTCAGTGTGAAGCAGCATAGCAAGACACTCTCAGAAAAGGGCTGGGAATACAGCTTAGTGGTTGAGTGCAATGCTAGCATGCGTGGGCTCATTCTCCAGTGCAGCAAAACAACAAACCAAACCAAACCAAAATTCAGACCCGATTTCCCACTCAATGCCATCCAAGAGGCCCCTCACCTCTGTCGAAAATCCCAGTGGTTACCCTCGCCTCTAGTGGTCCCTCTGCTTGGGAACACCCATTCCCTGGCTCGTCACTGAGGCAGCACAGCTACTCTCAAGACTCCGCTTGTCTCAGACAGCAGTCCCTCTCTGTTACTTTCTATTTCAGGCCCTTATCTGTTTCCTCCAAAGCTATCATTACAAGCCAGGGTAACTTTAGCTTCCTCACTAAAATATGAAGTCGACTGGGGAAAAAGTACATCTTTGTTGCTTACTCTATACTTTTAACGGGTGACTTATGGCTCAGCACAGGGTAGGGTACATAATAAATGCACAGTGATGAGTCAAGGGTTCTTCCTCAGCCCAGACAATGGTACCCGATTCATATGCAGTTACTCCACCGGCTGCATAGCTGCAATGGGAGGCTCAAACCCCAAAGGGTGAGCTGGATCAGACCGTGGGAGCAGTCTAATATCAGCAAATTCACCCGAAGTTCTCCCTCGTTATCCTTACCTGATGGGGGCACACTTTGAAGATTTTACCCCCTGTGAGATGCGGTGGGGGCTGTCTATCTCTGGCTCCATTCTGTACAGATTCATAGAGGGCCAAAAGAGAGAAACAGAGCTGGTCCTAGAGGACAAGATTAAAAGCACAGGAGTGAATGCCAGGGACTGAGCCTGGTGCTCAGCATTAAATGTGCTCTCCACATCCAGAGTGAAAAGATCAACTGCCAGGCTGGCGTTGGTGTTTAAGCCCACCTGGCCAATGCTCCTCTGACACAGGTAGGAAATGGAAGTTTCCACACAGGTAGTTCAAAAGAGACCAACTAAGGGCCGGGGACTTGGCTGAGCGGTTCTGCCACCTGCCTCGCAAGTGCAAGGACCCGAGTTCGATCCCTGGTACCAGAACAAAACAAAAAGACCAACCAGAATGACTGAACTATTAAAAGTCTAGGGTGTGGGGCCTTTTAGTTTTCAGAGTTTGGAGAAACTGTCAAAGAGGAGCTAATATTTGAATTTGAATTTAAAGAAGGCTTCCTTTCAATAGCACAGAAATATAAAGGACAATAAAGTACTGTACAGGTAAAACCCATACATATACACACACACACACACACACACAATCTATACATGCAAAAGCAGCCACTTTAGTAGAACCTGAAAAGCAGAGCTTATAATGCATTCTTGGTAATAAACTTGTGATATTGGTATATTAATTATTTCAATTTCACAATGTAAGATACTGCAAACCCTCGAGTTACTGGCCTAATCACTGAACAATTTGGGTTACGATTGGAATTTTGGTTTCAACTTATGACCAAAGTGTTGAGTTATGGCCCAAATGCCAGCCATTTGTGTGGCTATAAACAAAAACTCATGATGCCAGAAAAGTGTATGTAAGCAACTGTGTCAGTCAGAGCCCAGATACTCATGTTTATGACTGGATTTTGGTTGGTGCTTTATATAATTGCTATGGTTACTGTTATCAAATCGGCCCTCAAAAAGTTAGAGAGGCAGCAAAGGAAGGAAGGGAAGGTAAAAAAAAAAAAAGCAATCACAAAAAAAGAAGGAAATTGTGGAGAAATAGGACAGTGGTGTTTGTGTGACCGATCTTGCTAGTATGTAGCGCATGTCGAAATCCACCATCTTGACAACCTTACAGAAAACAAGATTTGTATAAGGAATCTAGTGTTGCTAAATCTGTTACTCAAATTAGTAAATCACGATCAACAGATGAGGTAGAAAGTGTGGACAAATGAAAGGCAGATGGCAGGTTACAGACTGAGTCTATAATTTGTGAAAAAGCTAGAGCTATAAATGCAGATCTCATAAAGGATAATCCATCAGTGAGTGATAACGGTGAAACATTTCATGACATTAAGGGGTAGTTTCACAATTTTAAAGTGAGAACTGGAGTTCACAGCATAACTAGGCACAGTGAAACAGCCAGTGCAGATAAAAGGGCTGCTGAAAATTATATACACCACTTCAAAACACTGACACAGAGATGTGGCTTTTGCTCTCATCAAGGTTTCAACTGTGATGAAACTGGCCTTTTCTGAAAGAAAATGTCCAGAACATACATTACCCAGGAGAAGAAAATGCCAGGCCACAAGCCTATGAAGGACAGGCTAACCTTATTGCTATGTACCAATGTGAGTGGTGACCTCAAGATAAAGCCTCTCTTGGTTTATCACTCTGAGACCCTTAGACTGTTCAGAAAACAAAGTCATGAACAGGCTAAGGGTCATGTGGAGATCTAACACAAAACCCTGGGTAACAAGAGTACTTTTTCTTGAGTGGATCAGGGAGGCTTTCTGTCCTGTTTATCACTCAGGCTCTCCTCATCACAGACCATTCTCCTGCTCACCCACAAGATCTGGAAGAATTCCCATGGCTCTCAGTCAAGTTCCTCCCACTTAATGTAACTCCTCTACTGCAGCCTATACACAGAACTGTTCCTGAAGTGCTTCCAGATGGTCTCAGATACATATTTAATCTTTAAAGAATTCTGGAAGGAACATTACAGCATCCTTTCCTATGTGGGGTTAACTGAGAAATCCTGGACTAGTGTCTCTCTAAGGACACTGAGATCTGCCTGGAAAAAAGTGTGGCCTAAAATTCTACAGGACACTTTGAAGGCTGTAGAGGAGCCTGAGCCTTCAGCTGAGCCTGTGGCTGATGACACTGTCAGTACAGCAGAGTCCATAGGCTGCAGGTAGACAGTGGTGATGCTGAGGAACTGGAGGAGGATCACTCAGAGAAACAGTCTACAGAGGGACTTCAGCAACTTCCGGCTGAGCAGCAGAGAATAGCAGCTGAGGAGCTCTCTGAAGAGGAGGGGGAGCGCCAACAATCAGTGCAGCAAAGCCCTTCTGAAATAAAGGAAATCCTAAAAAATGGACAGAGCTACAAATGTGAAGAGAAGACACACCCAGAGAAAAAACCAATCACTGCATTCACTTGGTTAATGACAATGTCATATATTACAGAATAGTGTTAAAGAAAAGACAGAAACAGACAGCCTTAGACCGGTTTTTATTTCTGAAAAGGTTGACTTGGCCAGAAGTAGGTCCTAGTGGGCTGGCTACAGATTCTCCCAAGGAGAGAAAGGACACTAGAGAGCGAGATTCCTGATGTTCTTGTGGAAGGAGACTCTCCTTCCAAACAATACCCACCTCCCATTTCATCCTCCCTTCCTGAAAGCCAAAGATGCCAACTTGAAAGGTGAGTACAGTGTGAAATTGTTGTTTCGGGTACACTAGGCATATTTTATAACTTTGGTGAATACACTAGGAAAATTATTGGTGTTTCTGGCAAATTATGCACATTATACAACCCTTTTTTATTATGAAAAGGTTAGTTAAGGGGTGCCTGGGAGGTTCATCACGCACTACAGGAATTTCCATTATTTCTAATGGGAAAAATAATCTTGACTTAACAACCAGCTCTCGAAAACGAATTGAGTTCGTAAGTCAAGGGGCCACATAGGGTCATACTTAAAAAACAAAACAAAACAAAACAAAAAAACCCCAAATAATAGGAGGGACTGACTGTAAGCCAAGGATTCAAATGCACGTCATCACCTGGCTGCAGCCATCTTGCAGGCTCTCTGATAGCCAGTACCTCTGTCCAAAGGAGGTGTTCAAGCACTGTGTTCACATCTCACCCAGATAAGTAGACAGACCTCTCCCAAAGCCTGGATCACTACAACTGGCCTCAATACTCACCCTGCAGTCTTCTGCTGTGAAAGGGATGTCACACTGCCCCAGCAGATGCTGCAGCTCCTTCTCACTGTAGGAGCCAATCTCCTCAAGCTTGCAGGTTCCTTCCTGGAGCAGCCTCACCAAGGCACTGCCATTGCCTGCAAGAGATGACAGTGCAGATGGGAAGTGCTGCTGCCAGCCACCAGCAGCCATGGGTAGTTCCCCCAGTGCTTGGGGATGGGAAGAAGGGGACGCAGAGTAGCAAGCAGTAGAAGGCAGCTCTGCACGGAACACTTCCCAGTGTGCTGACAGAAATGGGACTCAAGGCAGGACTTCTGCAGCTATCTAAAGTCTCTCAGAACTGGAACGTGTCCTAGAACATCCTTCAGGAGAAACCCAGCACAGACACTGCAAAGAACCCTAAGATGAGCCAGCTTTTTAATCGAAAGTCTTCTGTTTTTTAGAACCAAGAACACAGGTTCTCACTGTACCTGGAACAACAAGAGCTGTATTTTACAAATGTTCTCTATATGGTGTGATAATCAAGGGAACTAGGTGGGGACTCTTCAAACAAAAATTGCTGGGCCTTGAAGCAGCAACTATGAATGAGGTGGGACCTCCACAGCTAATGTTAGAAAGCAATATTTGAGAGTAAGTGGATCACAGCTTAATAAGTACTTATTAAATCAATTTAATAGGTCATAGCCAAAATTTTGAAAATGAGACAAGATCAAAATACATAGTATCAATGTGGAAAAGTAGTTTTACGAAAGTTTTGTTTCAGTTAGATACACACATGTATACATATGGATTTCTGGGCGATGATATAAAATGCATCCTTTACTGTGAATCACAGTTTAAAAAGAAAAAAAAAAAAGCAGAAGGCTACCACTAACTATGCTAGCTCAACAGGGTAGTAGGTGGGCAATGTGATCATGTCCTCTTTGTAAATGCAGCAACAGAGGCTCAGGGAAATGAGGAACTTATCAGAGGTCACAGAGCTGCTAAGTGCCATAGCTAGGAACTGAACATAAGTTGTCAGAAACTTATGTTATCCACAGATAGTCCAATGCATAATGCACAAACCATCTACAAAGCCATCTGAACCATGATTCTTTTGGGGGGCAGGTACTGGGGATTGAACTTGGGACCTTGTGCTTGCAAGGCATGCAGTGGAACCACTGAGCTAAATCACTGGCTATAAAGCCATCTGAAAGATCAGTTGTGAAAGAAATGCCTTGCCCTCACCATATACTTTCTCAATGAAAATCTTTGGGGTTGAGCTTCATTATCAGTATTCCCTTCTCAGTGCAGAGTACCCCAGGAGGCTGGCAGTAAGCTGTGTGTCTGTGTCACGTGGCTGATAACTTCAAAATTCTGCACCCTGCCTTTCACTTCCAGAGGCTTTGTCACAGGCTGACATCATCCTTGCAGGAGTCCTCTAGGTGGGCCTGGCCCTCTCTCTCTATCTCTGTGCTGTCTTGCTACAGACAATGCCCACACTCTTGAATGAGCCACTCCCAGAACCCTATTAGCCACCAAGTACCCTTACCAGGTGCTGGCTGCACATCCAGATTTTTGTCTTTCTCAGTGTTGACAACCACAGCTCCTCTCATGAGCGGAGGGAAGAAGGGGGCAATGACAGAGGCATCAAATTTGGTGATAGGGATGCTGGCCGGGAACGCCACCTGCTCAATAACCTCAGTTTCCATCGTGGCCCAAAAGTCCTCCACGTTCACCTCACTGGGACCCAGGAATTCAGGCCAGGTGAACTACAAAGCCAAGATTAGAAAGGTCAAACTGGAGGGACCAGGATGTCAGGAGTGCAGCAGTCTTCACTCCTGTACACACATGAGAAACCAAGGCTTAGTGAAGGGCAGGATCTGCTTTGCACGCACAGCTGGCTGTCCCCAGAATGTGACACTTTAGTGCCACCTGCCTTTTCTTTCTCTCATGCCACAACACTCTCCAAGACTGCTTTAGTCTTAAGGTCCTTTTGCTCTTTATTTATATCATCTTCTCTTTCTTACGAGAAAAAGGAAGCTACCATTTGAATGAATTTTATATACTAGATAATTTTCAATGAATTCCTAATAAATAAGTCTAGGGTATATCTGAGATGAAACTACTAGAACCAGGGGCAGAACAAGATTGTGAACACAGGTCCAGCCCTAAATCCTAGCATCTATCCCTATACCTGCTGACAAGAATATTCAGCGCTCTATTTAGAGAAATTCTATCCACGCTGCAAGGCCCCGTGGATGCTTCGCCTCCTTCCCCTTTAGAAGGCCCCCTCGGTTCTCACAAGCACCCAGGCATCACCCCACCTCGTGCAGCATTCACTTATCACAAGCATCAGGTGCTGATACCAACCAATTTTTATTCTTTTTATTCTTGGTGCCAGAAATTGAACGTGCTGCTATGTCTGGACTCATTATTTTCGATTTGTCTAGAGTTTTATTATTAATGGGTATTGAATCATATTGAAAGCCTTTTTAAAAACTATCTAATGAAATAATGAGTTTTCAATATGCTAAACAGAGAATTGTACTGATGTATTTTCTAATGTTGAAACAATTTGCTTTCTGGTGATAAATTTGGTCACGACGCACTGCTTTATCTATTGTGACATATGATTTGCTATTTTCTTACTCAAGACTCTGACATCTATATTCATGAGTACAATTAGTCCCAGTTTCTTATACTAAAAACACCTGATTCTGTTTTCAAGGATATAGGGCCCTATGACAAAATACTCTATACCTTTTATCTGCTTTTGCTATTCTCCTTTAACTACAATCAATACATTTTTGGATATTTGGTATAATCCAACGATGAAGCCATCTGAATTTGGTATCATCTTTGTGTGGAAATTTTAGTTTTGGAACTCAAGGCATCTCAGGTTATTTTCTTACTCCAATACCTTCAGAGCTCTCCATGTAAAATAACACATGTGAGCCTGGGTAGGATCTTGCTTCCTGTGCCTTGAACCTCACACATCCTACCATTCCCCCATCACTCACTCGAGCCACAGCAGCCTTCTTGCTGCTCCTCAATCACTCCTAGCAAGACTATCCCAGAGCCTGTTCTTGTTCCCTCGCCTGGAATGTTTCTCCCCAACGCTACATGGGCTTCTGATTTCTACTCAAATCCCACATCAGAGACCTTCCTGGATAACATTTATTTTTGGCATCAGGGATCAAACTTGGGACCTTGCGCTTGGCAAGGCAGGCGGCAGAACCACTGAGCTAAATCCCCGGTCCCCTGGACATTTTACATTGTGTTCCACAGCACTCCTTACTACCTGACAAATCTTTTGTTTCCAGCCTCCCCCAAACCAGAATGTGAGCTCCGTGATGAGAAACTGTTTTTCTTTTCTGCAGTCCTGGGGAATTGATCCAGGGCATCAAACACGGTAGGCTAGAGGTCTTCCAGTGAGTCTCATAACCAGCCAAACTCCGGGGTTGTACCTCAGTGACAGAGCACATGCTTAGCATGCACAAGACTCCAGGTTTCATCTACAGCACCAATACACACACACACACACACACACACACACACACACACGCCACTGGACTCGCCCAAACAGGACCAGAGCCATCTATCTGTAGGAACATCATGTAGGCAAGTGGTTGCCACAGTGAGTGATAGTTCTGAAGACCACCCATGGTCCTAAGAGGCACTTACCTCCACACTTTTCAGTGCTAGCACATTCTCTTCACTCCTCTGAGCCATTTCAACTTTGGGGGCTACACCACAGATGCCACAAATCATGTCGTTGTAGTCTCGGACAGTGAGGCACTCGAAAGCCCAGTAGCCATTGCACAGCAGCTCCTGCAGCTGGCTCAGCTCCTCTGAGGTAAGAGTCTTCTCTGGAAGAACAGCAAGAACACCGAGGTCACAGAAGATGATCGTGAAGGTATTAGAGGTGAGCCAGGAGCCAGCAGGAACAGCAATCCTACAAGACTGATTCTCCTCTAAAAATATCCATGAGTCCTAACTGTCCCCAGGGTCAGACAATTGGCCATCAGGTATTCAGGGGCAATTCAAAGGGGAATTCCACTTGAAGTGATGGGCGCCTTGTACTAAGCATCTCTTAGGTACTAGCTGCTGTGCTGAGAGCTTTCATTGTGTTTAAAATTTTAATTCTCACATGAATTTAATTCTTTATGAATTATGAACCAGGAGCTATGTTTACCCTCATTTCATAATTAGAGAAACAGAGGAATGGAATAACTTGCTCAAAACCACACTGCCACTAAATGGCAGAGCCAAGTCTCAGAAAGGTCTGTGCAGCTCCCGCACCTTGCCCTACTCCAACATGTCCACCAGCAGGCAAAGCACAAGAGGCCTGGAGCCTGTACGAACCATGAAAAGAAGAGCAAGAGGACCAAGAATTTCTCGATAGTAAAGAGGGTAGTTCCCATCCTCAGTCTTAGCACGAGCCTTGGACTAAAAGCAACAACTAAGAGCTGTGTAAATGGAAGGAGTCTGACTGAAATGCCGGAGGACAAGTCCGTCCATGACCGAAGGATATGCTTCTAACAGTCAGTTGTGGCCTCTTGCTGAAAGTCCCTGGATATGTGAAATATTCATGCTTTCCAAAGTTAGCATGGCACTCATAACATGTAAAAGGAAGGCCAGAATATCTCCTTTTCCAGATATCAGACTCACTGGGCATGGTGGTGCATACTTGTAATTCCAGCACTCAGAAGGCTGAGGTAAGAGGATCACCATGAGTTCAAGGCCAGCCTGGACTACGTAGTTAAGTTCAAGATCATTCTAAACTACACAGCGAGGCTCTGTCTTAAGAAATAAAACAAAACAAAACGTAGTAATGCTCTTCTGCAAAATGATTCTTTCAATCAAATGTCACTAAAAATTTTCAAGTGCTTAAGAATAACCTTGGAAAAGGGAGGAAGTGACCTTTACCTGTCTGCTCCTGCACTGACTTCAGCACAACACTGACTGATACTCTGGGGTCCTCTCCCAGCTTGATCTGGTTTCGAATTGCAAAAAGCAAGTCCAGGCTTACTAGCAGCTTGTTCCCCACATTAAAGAGACCTGGAGATAAAAAAAAGAGGCAACAGGGAATTCACTGTAGCATTATACTCACTAGGAAAATATAAGAAGCAAACTAAACACCCATCAATAGAAGAACAGTTATATTTTGGTACATTCATAAAATAGAAAAATAATGCATAAAAAAAAAAAAGAAAATAAGGAAACCTAACTGTTCTGACATGAAGTTGTCCATAACACATTGATAAGTGAAAAGAACTAATAATGTAATATGTATTATACATTGTTTTACGTTGTTTTGTTCCCCCAATAAAAAAAGAAACATCTCCCTACCCCCTAGCTCAGTCCTCAGGACCAAAGGTGTCACTCTTCCTCTACACCTCACACAACTGCACCATGGGGAAGGGTCAGGAGCGTCCTTTAGCCCAGGGATGGGGAGGGGGCGTAACAAAGTCTATACAATCACCCCTACATCACATCCTGGAATAAGAGAACCAGAGGAATTTAAATGCAATCAATTTAAGACAAATAAAAGAGGGTGATTTTACATTTGTACAAAATATAACATGCAAATTTGTACAAAAGCAAATTCTGGAATGTGTGTGTTCAGGAGAGAGGGGTAGAGAGAGTGGAGAAGACGCTCAGCATGACAGCAAAGGCTGACACTGTAACAGCAAAGCTCTGGGTACACAAAAATGAAAACAAAACAAAATTGTTTTAAAGCCCAAACAAGCCTGGTGGCCCCCAAATCATCACCTACAAATTTAAAAGACCACTGATAAACAGGAGAAAACTCGGTCCAAAAAAGTCCAAAAGAATGGAAATGTTCACAAAAGAAATTCATGATAGGGAAAAACAAAACAAAACTCCACAAAAGATCATGAAAAAATAAGAGAACTACAACAGATAATAAACAAAACACTAGTTTTCCCTATCAAATTGACAAGCTTTAAAAAATAGTAATATTGATCTATAAAAATTTCCTAGAGCTAACTGAGTGAGGTAACTGGATAAAGGCAACAGATAAAACTCAATCTTATCTCTATAGAAGCAATGAACAGTTGGAAACTGAACCCATGTCCTTTAGCACTGAAGAAAAGAAAAGAAAAGAAAAGAAAACAAAAACCTTAGTTATAAATCTAACAAAATACAAGTAGGACTTACAAGCTGAAAACTATAAAAACTGACCAAATTCTTAAGGATAAAAATATTTAACAACTAAAACTCCCAAGACAAAAACAAAAAAACAAAAAAAATCAGTGAAAGAAATAAAAGAAAACCTAGTAAGAGCCAGAGATTTAGCTCTGCACCTGCCTCACAAACACAAGGTTCTGAGTTCGAACGCTGACACTAGAAAAAAGAAAGAAAACCTAGTAAAAGATCCTGTTTGTGCACTGAAAAAATATTACTAAGTATAGCAAATCTTTCCAAATCGATATACATATACATACATATATATATTTGGTACCAGGGACTGAACTCAGGACCTTGCACTTGCCAGATAAATTGATCTATAAATACCACACAATCTCAATTAAAATTCTAACAGAATTTTATAGTTACTGACAAGCTGACTCTAAAATTTGTATGGAAATACAAAAGAATGAAACTAGCCAAAAAACAAGACTCATATTATCTGATTACAAAGCTTCAATAATCAAGACAGTGTGGTTTAAAGGATGAACACATAAATCAATGGAAAAGTACAGTGTCCAGAAACAGACTCACACAGTCAACTCATTTTCAACCAAGGGAAAAATTGTGTTAATGGAGAAAGGGCTGCCCTTTCTACAAATGGTAATACAACTGGACACTGACATTAAAAACTATGTTCAAGCTGGGCATGGTGGCACATGCCTGTAATCCCATTACTCAGGAGGCTATGGCAGAAGGATTGTCACAAGTTCAAGGGCAGCGTGGACCACATAGTGAGTTTAAGGCTAGTCTAAGCCACATGGCAAGACCCTGTCCCCCTCCCAAAAAAAAAACCACCCCAAAACCAAAAAAACTATATTTAAAAGCCAGGTGTGGCGGCACACACCTATAATCCCAGCACTCAGGAGGCTGAGGCAGGAGGATCTCCGTGAGTTTGAAACCAGCCTGGGCTATACTGTAAATTCCAGGTCAGTCTCAACTGCACAGTGAGACCCTGTCTCAAAATCTCCCCCAATAAAAAATCTTTTTAAAAAAGTTAATTAAAAATGGATCATAGCAAGAAACTGAAAGGTAAACTAAAACTTTTAGACAGAGAAGAGGATGGAGGAGGAAAGGGGAAGAGAATAATGGGGATGAAAATAATCAATATATTTTACATGCATGTCCCAGTACACCAAAATCAGTCTCATTATTCTGTATTACTAATAGGCACTAATGAAAAATGGATCATAGATCTAAATGCAAACCGTAAAATTATAAAATTCTGAGAGACATGTTTTTTTGTTTTTTTTGTTTTTTGAGACAGGGTCTCACTATGTAGTTGAGACTGACCTGGAACTCACTATGTAGCCCAGGCAGGTCTCGAACTCACAGCGATCCTCCTGCCTCAGCCTCCTGAATGCTGGGATTACAGGCATGCGCCACCACGTCCGGCATTTGAGGGACTTATATAACCAGAATATATAAACAATGGTCAAAAGTCAGCATAATCTTCCACATAGTGAGTTTAAGGCTAGTCTAAGCCACATGGCAAGACCCTGTCCCCCTCCCAAAAAAAAAACCACCCCAAAACCAAAAAAACTATATTTAAAAGCCAGGTGTGGCGGCACACACCTATAATCCCAGCACTCAGGAGGCTGAGGCAGGAGGATCTCCGTGAGTTTGAAACCAGCCTGGGCTATACTGTAAATTCCAGGTCAGTCTCAACTGCACAGTGAGACCCTGTCTCAAAATCTCCCCCAATAAAAAATCTTTTTAAAAAAGTTAATTAAAAATGGATCATAGCAAGAAACTGAAAGGTAAACTAAAACTTTTAGACAGAGAAGAGGATGGAGGAGGAAAGGGGAAGAGAATAATGGGGATGAAAATAATCAATATATTTTACATGCATGTCCCAGTACACCAAAATCAGTCTCATTATTCTGTATTACTAATAGGCACTAATGAAAAATGGATCATAGATCTAAATGCAAACCGTAAAATTATAAAATTCTGAGAGACATGTTTTTTTCTGTTTTTTGTTTTTTGAGACAGGGTCTCACTATGTAGTTGAGAGAGACCTGGAACTCACTATGTAGCCCAGGCAGGTCTCGAACTCACAGCGATCCTCCTGCCTCAGCCTCCTGAATGCTGGGATTACAGGCATGCGCCACCACGTCCGGCATTTGAGGGACTTATATAACCAGAATATATAAACAATGGTCAAAAGTCAGCATAATCTAGTAAACCAAATACATGTACAAATACTTTATCAAAGAAGATAGAAAGATGTCCATACATCATTAGTCACCGGGGAAATAAAGATTAATAAAACTCCACTGAGGTATCACCATACGTACAAAAGGTATTGCTCAGAAACGACAGTGTCACAGAGTACTGGCACGCAGAGCTGACTGGAACACTCACATCCCACTGGGGAGAATACAAAGTGGTACAGCCCTTTTGGTAAAAGGTTGGTAGTTACTTAAAACTAAACATTTATAACCATATGACCCAGAAATCTAACTCCTAGGTATTTACCTAAGATAAATGAAGTTAACACTTACACAAAGGCCCATATACCAATGTCTGAAGCAGCTCTTCATGCAATTAACAAAAACTGGTAGCAACAGAAACATTTAAAAATAGATGAGCAGATAAAACTGCTGTATATTCACATATACTCAACAGTGAAAAGGGAACAAACCACTGATACATACAACATGGATGAATCTCAAAGGACTATACTGACTCAAAAGTTTACAAACTACCGCTGCGTTTACACAACATTCTGGCGATGAGAACACTGCAGGGAGAAAGAAGAGATCAGAGGGCTGCGGAGGTTAGGGGTCAGGAGTTGGGTTTGGGTACAAGACCATGCTTTGGCGTAACAAACTCTCCTCTATACTGGCTGGGTGAAAGTTACATAAATCACAGCATATGTCAGAATTCACAAAATTTTACAACAAAGCAAATTTTACCATAAGTAAATTTTCAAATGAATTTTAATTTTAAAAACTACATAATCCTAAGTATTTGCCTACAAAGAGTATAGGGAAATGGACACTCTTTAACTGTTGTCAAAAACATAAACTCAAATTTAAGACTTATTAAAAACAATCAAAACAAGGCAACACAAGGTTCTCAAGACAAAGAGAAAAATCTTTAGCACTCGATTCTACATATTAAAAAATTCAGATTCATAATGGTATATGGTGAGTACTCAACAAATGCATAGGGAGCAAAGGCATAAATATGCAGCAATTCTACTTCTGAAAATTTATCCAAAGAAATTAAATAATTGAGGATCTGAGGACATGTTTAATTATAAACAGGGCTATGAAATGTAGTACTACACAAAATGGTCATGTAGCCGGGCGTGGTGGCGCACGCCTATAATCCCAACAATGAGGAGGCCGAGGCAGGAGGATTGCTGTGAGTTTGAGACCAGCCTTGGCTACATAGTGAGTTCTGGGTCAGACTCAACTACATAGTGAGACCCTGTCTCAAAAAAACAAAAACAAAAAAATAAATGAATAAATAAATAAATAAATATTAAAATGGTCATGTATTTTACTTGTTGGCTTAGGTAGATGCCTATGATATACTACTAAATTTTAAAAAGCATGTTACAAAATAGTGCACAACACCACTTACTTTTCTGCAAAGAAAAATTACAAACCTATAAAACTTTCCATGTCTCATATTCTGCACAGATGAATGAACACATCTGGAAAACTACAGAGCACAATGTTAAATGTTTTATCTCATGGCAGTGATATTACTACTTTTCAGTTTCCTCTTTTTATTTGTCTGCATTTCCTAACTTCATCAATAAAGATCTACTATTTTATAACTAACTTTGTTCTAACGATGCTAGAAAAGGGGCCTAAAGACTGAGAGACAAAGGTCAGTTCCTAGGCCTAAGGTGTTCAGGAGGAAGATGTCCTATGGAGAGAAGGTCCACTGTGCAAAGCACCACAGCGCTGATACATGAAAACAGTTCTCGAGCTTTGCTGCAGGGAGCCCAGGGGAAGCAAAGGCTGGTACCCACCTGTGCAAATGTCCATGAAGCTGTGCAGGGCCAGGCAATGGGGATTCAGACACATCTTCACCTGCGCAGTCACCACTTGCAGCCGGTTAGCTGTCAGCAGCCAACACTCCTGGGGCCCAGCCAGGGAGCTGGTACCAAAAACACCACCAATAGAAAACAGAAGGGAAATCAATTTCTTTATGCAGGTCTTGGGCTTAGTGATCAGTGGAAAAATTCTCAACACTTTAAGGCAATAGAGAAAGAAACATGTTGAAGTTTGGGTTTTAGGGGTATTTTTAGGTGAGTGCTTCCACTTTGTTGGAATCTATAGTCTGTAAAGTTGGCCCTATAATTAATATAATTCTTAAATTTATTATTTAATCAGTCCCACTGAACTCCCATGCACAACTATGATGTGGCAGGTCAAGATGTAATCTAATCCTAAACTGTTGCTAATGTCAACAGAAATGGCAGGCACTTTCAACGGAAATGATAATTATTAGTTATGTTACTGTTAGCAACTGAAAAGGTAAAAGAAGCCAAAGGAAAACAAAGAGTAACATCTTCACAGGTCACAGCTCCACGGGTAGCGAGAAGTGACGTGAGTCAAGTGGACGGGGAAGCTAAGAGCAGACAGAGCAAAAGGGTGAAGGGTGCTTACTTCTGGGCCCCTTTGAATAATGGGCTGCTGCAGAGAAGGCACTGCGTGGACGGGGACTCATAATAACTCGACCAAGAGGTCTGCTCGATGGTGACCGTCTCCTCACTCACGTTGGACAGGATAAGTCGAGAGCTGTTGAGTTCATGAATCAAGGCGAAGACCTCAGCCAGTTCAGACTCGTTCTCAGGAATCTGCAGGACTTTGCGCAGCAGCTGCAGCGTGGACTGGCGCTGAATCTCTCTCTGGGCTGCACTCAGGGGCTCTGTGGCACTTAGCTCATCTGGGAGTGGAGAACTCACCTCCTGCTAAGGAAATGGTCAATCAACAATCCCGGGGCGCAGAATGAGCCAGGTTTAGGCTAAAATGAACTGTACACGCAGTAGCTGCCCATGGCTGAGGGCTGGGAACCGAGATTTCCGACCAGCTTGCTAATAACCCACTGTTATTATTAGCACTAAGGGCAGTGCTTCTCTGTGGGGCTCAGTGTTTGTCAGGAAAATGAGGATACACGTGCCGCTTGGTAGTGGAATCAATGGTGAGCTCCTACTCATGAGGAGCATAAGGTTTGGGTTTCACTTCTGAAGATCCCACTTCATGGCTGTACGTGTGGGACCCATAGCAATTTATTTGACCTGAGGCTCATTTTCTTCATATGTGAAATGTACTACTAGTCTCCTAGAGCTACTGTATGGAACAAACGAGGTACTGCAGGTAAAGGACACAGTACAGTGCCTGGGATGCAATGAAGGCTATGAATGGTAGCTTCCATATACTAACAATGTGTCCTGCTTAAAAGTATTTTGTCTTTAATCCTCTATGGCTTCTAGGTACAAGGGTAGGTATTTTACGTACTAGTTACAGACTTTCAGGAACAAGGTTCTGAATTAGTCATTAAAAATAGGTCTTTCTCAGGCAGATTTTTTTCCTCAGTGGAAGTTCCTCCCTGATCCTTTTTTGCTAACGCAGCATGAATCACTGCCTCCTTTTATCTCCCAAATGCATGCAAGATTCACCATTTTAGTTGCTAAGACACTATTCTTTCTCTTCAGTGAGGACAGGGTTTCTGCTTACGCTTTCATTCCCCAAACCAGCATGAGGCCTGCTCACAAAAGATGCTGACTCATATTTGCTGGACATGTCATGTACTGCTTTGTAGAAACTAATTCTTAATAAAAAAGGAGCTTTAAAAATCAGCTTTGCAAAGAGGTATCAAAAGGAGGAGGAACGAGGAAAAAAGCAGCAGCAAGATATATCATGTACAGATGGGTGAATGTTATCATTATGTACATCTAAAATGTACCAATAAATGCTTTACTTAAAAAAATTATTTTTGAGAAAAAGAAAAAAAAAGGAAAGAAATTACCCTGGAGAGACTATGCTCCCTTCAGAAGAGCCAAACTGGGACACTAATACTCAGGATGGCTAGAAATGATGGCGAGTGTGACAGCTTCTCTTACCATGGGGTAAAAGGTGCATTAAAATTTGTTTGTTAATGATGATAAAGTGAGTGAGACCTTACAGGGTACAAAAGAAAATCCAGCTTTGCTTCATAACTGATTAGTAGAGGCCTTCTGTAAATATATTAACATAGACCCATCTTCCAGAGGGGGGGCACTAAAGGGACAACATTTCATCTGTCCAGCAGTCCCAGATATTCAGCGTAAGCTACAAAAACTTCAGATGGGGTCTCATACACTGGTATGGCCTTTTCTGTGTTCAACCTCCAAGACCCAGAGGAGAGACAAAAAAGAAAGGCAAAGGTTATAGATATTGCAATTGGTGACACCCCGTCCACAGATATCACCATCTCCTCTGAGGAACCTGGGTAATCTTGACGTCATGGTGAGCCGATTCAACTGCTTACAGATACACAGGCAGCTAATTCTGCTGTGATTCCCTTCTCTGGAAAACTCCTTTTAAGTTTACAGCCATAGTAGGGGTTGAAAGGATCCCCAGTCGGAGATTCTTTACCCCTCCTTTGATGTGTCACTTTGAAGGTCGGATGTTTAACCATGACTTTCTAACTGTCCCACAGTGTCCCACTCCTTTGCTAGGAAAAGACTATTAACAAAAATGGGGGCAATTCTAGAACTCTGGCTCAGGCCAAAACAGATTTTACTTTCTGAGACTACACCAGATCACTCTGATCTAATCAGCCAACAGGTAAATCCTGCTGCACAGTATAAGAGAATACCTGGTAGAGCAGATTCAGCTATGCCAGGAGTCATAGTAGTAAAAGGGTCCAGCCGAGTGCCTAATCAAAAATGGTATAGGAAATTCTACAACTCCTAGAAGCAGTCCATTTCCTAGAAAGGTCTCAGCCATGCACTGTAAAGGACACCAGAGACATGTCTGACACTTCCTTGAGAAATCAAAAGGCTGATAGGGAGGCAAAACAGTCAGACTTACAACTCCTGAAGACTTTAGCCTTATTCGCATTTCCTAAGGAACCATAAAACCAGGCTATACTCCCCAGGAGGCTAAATGAGCCTTTGGACAAGGAGGAATTAAAAGAGGACTTCAGTAGTATTTAGGAAACAAACTGGTCCTTCTCCAAGAGATACAGCGGAAGGCTATAAAAATACTTCATGATTCCTTCCATATGGGAAGAGATGCTACACTGGAAATGGTCTCTCGAGTTTTCCTAAGACTAGGACTAGCCTACATCACACCAGGCAAGCCCAAACCACCTCCTTTATTAGAACCTGTACAGAGGAGGACACACCCTGGAGAGGACTGGCCCTTAGACTTTACCCATATGCCACCATGTAGAGGATTTAAATAGATGTTGGTCCTAATTGACACCTTTACAGGCTAGATTGAAGCCTTTCCTTTCTGTTCAGGAAGGCTACAGAGGTAGTCAAGGTGCTTCTTAAAGAAATCATCCCTATATAGAAGTAGGCAAAGACTTCATGAATAAAACCCAGACTGCACAACAAATACTATAAAAAATCAACAACTGGGACCTCATCTTACTAAAAAGCTTTTGCACAGCAAGAGAAACCACCAACAGAGTGAAGAGACAACCCACAGAATGGGAAAGTTTTAATCAGCTATTTATCAGATAAATGACTATTATCTAGAATATATAAAGAACTCAAAAAAATCAGATCCCCTCAAATTTAAAGACCCAATGTAAAACTGGGCATCTGAAATGAATAGATACTTCTCAGATAAAGTAGATACAGCAAATAAATGTATGAAAAAAGGTTCTACCTCACTGGTCATTTGTGAAATGCAAATTAAAACAATGCTGAGATTCTGTCTCACTCCAGAAAGAATGGTTGCTATCAAGAAATCAACCAGGGGCTGGGATTTAGCTCAGAGGTGCCGCTGCCTGCCTCACAAGCGCAAGGTCCCTGAGGTTTGATAGTGGGTACCAAAAAAAGAAAAAGAAAGAAAGAACTCAACCAATATCAAATGTTGAAGGGGATGTAGGGAAAAAGAATCCTTCTCCAATGCTGGTGGGAATGTAGACTGGTGCAACAACTGTGGAAATCAGTGTGGAGATTTCTCAAGAAACTACAACTAGAGGCTCCAGTTGCCCAGCTATACCCTCTCTTGGTATCTTCCCAAAAGAATTAAAAGCCTCATACCACAGTGATATATGCACATCCATTTTTATAGCATCATAATTTGTAATAGCTAAATCTTGGAAACAGACCAAGTGCTCATCAACAGACAAGTGGATTAAGATTTTTTTTTTTAATACAAGTGTCATAAAGAAAAATGAGCTGCAGACATTTATAGTTAAATGGACCTTGTACCATACTCTTAAGTGATATAAATTGTACACATTATGTTTAAATACCTCTTTGTTTCTCTGGTATGAGAGACTGAAAGTGGAAATAGGGACTAAAATGTATTATGGATGTTGGGAAATTGGAAGAAAGTATTCAAGTGGGAAGGGGAACAGGGAGGAGGAGGGAGAAAGGAAGGAAGGGACAAGAAAAAAAATGAAAATAGAGGGAAAAAATGGAAATAAAGCTTCCGTACATATAGGGTGGGAAGGGGACTTCAGTGGAGAAATGGGATAAAATAAAATTTGTTTAAAAAAAAAAGAGAGAAAGAAATTGTCCCTAGATTTGAACTACCCCAGTCTCCCTATTGACAATGGACCTTCCTTTACCTCCCAAGTAACTCAGGGAGTGGCAAAGACTTTAGGAAAAAAGTGTTATCTTCATTCCACTTGGCAGCCTCAATCTTCTGGAAAGGTAGAGAGAGCCAATCAAACCCTAAGTGAGCTGTGGCAAAACTTTGCTAAGAGACATCTAAGTCCTAGCTCTAACTGCTACCAAAAGCATGCATGAGGGTTTGTAACATGCCCCCAATTAGGTTAAATTTGAGCCCATTTGAGAGGTTATACAGAAGGCCATTTCTATCCTGATATGATGGTAGACCCTGAAATTATGAGACTCTTAGAATATCTCATCAATCTAGGCCAAGAACAACAAGCTATCCAAATTTATGGAAACAGTCCTGACAACTGCTTGCCCAGAGCCCCACCTACTACTGCCCACCCTGGAGGCCAAGTGCTTGTAAAAATTTGGAGAGAGGGAACGCCAGCTGATCAGCTAAAGCCAAAATGGAAAGGTCTCTTTTCAGTGATCCTTGCAACACCCACTGCAGTAAAGGTGGCAAATACAGATAATTGGATTCATCTTTCTAGAATAAAGTTGGTCTCACCCAAACTGTCTAAAGAATAAGATCACCCAAAAGAAAAAAGTTACTGTTGTGAGCCTCTGGAAGACTTGAAGTTTCTCTTCAAAACGCTAAGCTCCAGCACTGCTACAGATAAACAAGACTTTGCTAAGGCCAATGCTCTTAGATGCTTGATAATTTATCTGACATATCTCTCTAATATATATTCTTCTCTACAGGAAGCATGGAAGTCTGACCTGCTCCTCACATGTGGACTAGTAGTAAAGCTTTTTCTCCTGTCAAACAGGCAGCCTGAGGATCACTAACTCCTTTCTCATTATTTTCTGACAGGTTTTTCTTTCCTCAGCCCAGCCATAAGCCACACACCCTTCCAGCTTGAAGAAGCTACAGAAGATAGAGATCTCCACTCCTTCAACATCCTATAAGAACCTAGGAGATTTACGTCTCTCGGGAGAAATGAGATAGGAAATAGGATGTGGAAAAGCTGCCTAGGGAAATGAGTAGAACCTGTCGATTGCAAGATCGCAGGGCAATAGGAGAACCCCATATGTAGGACTTCTCACAAGCACCTATGAAGATGTGGATTGCGTAAAGTAAGAGTGACCATCGTGGAAAGCCACTACCAAGTGTGAGTTTGCATGGTAGCCCAAGCCACATCTGAATGTGGCATATACTTTTATGTTTGTTTCTACTTTTTCTCTTCGTTCAGCCCAAGTTCATTCTGCAGAGCTGGTTTCTCCCATACTTGTTTATCCTGCACTTTTCCAATAAACTTTTTGGCACCATTGAAAAAAATTTTTAACTTTGCACACCCATGACAACTTTTGTCTCACTGTCTGTAACAGCTTGGTCTTTTCCCAACTAAATCGTAAGTTCGTCGAAGGAACAGGCCAGGTCCTAATTATCCTCTGAAAGTTTTGCCTATAGGAGGCATTCAATATATGCTAACAGAAGGAATAAAATGATTAATGAACTTGACCAAGGAAGAAAACTTAGCAGGCACTAGAATAAGATGCTCTGGGAAACTGTATGTCCCCAAGCATGACTATGTTGAACCATGAGCTTAAAGACCACATGGCAGGAATACTGTCCTCTAGTATTGAGTTAGAGATAAAGGACAGAAAGGACTGAATACCATCCCAGACTAGAGACACTGTGGTCTTAATTATAGCAGATGAAGGTAAATTGCATAGGAAATGTGTAGCCACCAGGTGGCTCCAAAGGGCAATATACACAAAAGCCTTGGATTTTGACCAGTTTTATATTTTGGAAAACAATAATTACATTTTACTTCTCTAAACTTTTAAAAGATTAGAGGGTTAAATAGAGTCTGATGGTGAAGGAAAGTCTAAAAATGAGGGTTTTGAGGGTAGGAAGCTCTAAGTTAACAAAAGATATTAATGATTAATGCTATGGAACAGAGACAAAATGCACAGAAAATCCAGGAGAAAGCTCAATTCCAGCAGAGGGCATCCTGTGGAGCAAGAGAAACTGAAGAAAGCTATGGACCCATTTTGCATGCAATTGTGGGAGTTCAGAACAGGGAAATTTTCAGGGTCACTCCCAGCCAGCTCTCTAAATTTGCAGTCCCAGTGCTTTTTCTACTAAGCTACCAGTTCCCACATACTTCAATTCCACTTTCCTTCCTCTGGAGGTCAAAGACCTCAGAACACCGCCTCAAGCACTGAAACAGACTTGGCACCAGGTAATGAGATTCATCACTTTAAAGACCCTTTGCCATATACAAAGAACTGCTTTCGGCTAGAAGTATTTCCCTCTACCTCTACTCCTGCCTACTCTCACACTCCCAGAAGTCTTCCTTCTCAAGTATCTTCCTGTAGGTGTCTCTCCGGCTCATGGGGCTCATGGACATTCAGTGTGAACCCCAATGCCTACAGAGCAAACTTTCCAGTCCAACACTCAGGACCCTCCAGACACTGTCCTCACACGCTTTCCAGTTCTTTAACTTTCCTTACCCCCGGCCCACCCTGCCACACTCACATCCTTCACTTTCATTCATACCCATCTTTTGAGTAGCCTCCCCCTCCCAAGCAGAACCTATCCATCTCTCAAGGACCAGCTTCCACCCAGAGAGCACCCAGGTTCCATCCATCCATCGTGGATGTTGACCTGTTTGTTGTGTGTCATTCCTCTACCCCCCATCCTCATTCTATTCACCTCAAGTGCTGTCACTTTCCGTTCACTTTTAAAAACTCATGTGTGGAGGGCCAGGGCTTTAGCTCAGTGGTTCCGCTGCCTGCCTTGCAAGCTCAAGAACCCGAGTTCGATCCCCAGTATCAAAAAACAACAACAACAAACTCATGTATGGAAGTTCTGACAAAGTCTGAAAATGACTACTTCTTTTTGGGTTCTAATAAGTTTAAAAAGAGCCCTAAGGAGCTAAGTTAAATATATATTACTATCCAAGTGGAAGAATAGTAGTAGATAACAGGTTTGTTAAGACTGCTAGAACCAAACTGTATGATCACCTAAATAATCTTCAAGAAACCTGGTAGAAGTGATAAGTTCTCGCACTGGATTTCACTGTTTACTGAAGGAATACATCAACTTACAGGTGCTGCACTAGGCTTCAGAGCTAAGAGGATGCAAATCCAACTTGTCTTCCTAATGCTCTTTAAGGTCTGGGCTGCCACTCTCCTCAGTGACTAGACTTTTGGTTCTCAGACATCAAGGAGCTGGTTACTATGTTTTGAACGAGCCCCTCAAGTTTCATGTGTTGGAAACTTAATCCCAAAGCAGCTTGTTAATGGAACTTGAGATGGGACCTCTGAGGGGTAATGGGGTCATGAGGGCCCTGCCTTCATGAATAGATTAATCCACAAATTAATGAATTAAAGAGTTATTGCAGGAGTTGCACTGTTTCAAAAGTGAGCACTCTCTGGCTCCTTGTTCTGAACAGCTGATTACCCAATCTCAGGTATTTTGTTACTGCAACAGAAAACAGACTACAGTACTGGTGAGCACTCTCACCTTGGCAATGAGGACATGGACCAGAGAAAAGATATTTGCTCAGATTCAGAACTTACAACCTGATTCCAGTCCTGACATTCAAGCTACTAATCACCTAACAAGAAATTCTTTTATTTCTACTTAAAACAGGTTCACTGACACAGCACAACCCAAGGCCAGGGGATGTGTTAGGGGAAGGGACTCACAATAGCCTTGGTGGTTTTCTCAGTCCGGTCTTTGGCAAGGTTAAAACCACAGCTGGGACAAATCCGAGGTTTGTGCCGGTTGGTGTAGACAAAGCTGCAAGAGGGATTCTTGCACTTTCCCCTGCCTCTTGATGTAGCCAGGCCCAAATCCTAAAAAAGTAAGGTCAATGTTCAATTGTACAGAAGTTAGGTCAAACTTGCGGAGAACCCAAAACCCAGATGATAAGTTGTCAATAAATCAGACGAGAGCGCCAGGGATTTAGCTCAGTAGTTCCACTACCTGCCTCGCAAGTGCAAGGACCTGAGTTCGATCCCCAGTACCAAAAAATCAATCAATCAATCAGACAAGAAAGTGGCAAATACTGTACAAACCAGATTTAGCTTAACTTCTAAAGTCTCGACCTGTAATGAGTCTTTTCTGTAATGACTTTTAATTTTAATACAAGCTGTAGAATCTGTGAAACAAGTATGACTCTCAAGGGTCAGAAATTCAAAAGCCTTCAAAGTCCACGCAGTTGGCAGAATAAGCAATCTGCTCACATGAGGAATGCTAGACCGTGGTGAGCTAGATTTCTGAAGAATTCAGGGGGTAGGGGGATGGAGCTTTAGTGGCACAGTGCTTGCTTAGCACACATGAGGACCTCCCAGGGTTCTACCCCAACATCAAATGAGGAAAAACTATTTCAAGCTCTACCTAAAGACAAACTGTAACTTCGGACTAATAAAGCTTAAAACTTCTAGGTTCCTATGACAAGTTACTGTCTAATCGACCTAAGAGAGAAAGAATCCTGGGAAGTTCTCACCAGATGGTAAGCCTAGCAGCCTCCTGTAGTCAAAGACAATAAGGACATAGAGGGCATGGAGGGGATAAAACTCATTAGTTCTTGATGAGAAGAGATATCTTCTCTTTAGGGACCTGGCCAGACTGGGAATCATTAACCCATCAAATAGTGATCTTGCTCATTCATTCTCTCCTCCCATATAAAAGACATATTAAAGTATGTATTACATATTAATATCATAAATATATTTACATGCATTATATATTTTTGTATATTATATATATTTATTCCTTTTTTTGTGTTGCCCAAACAGGTCATGGACTCAAAGAATCCTGTCTCAGACTCCCAAGTAGCTGGCACTACAGAATGTGGTATGGTACCTGGCTAATAAATATGTTTTGAATAATGAAAGATACTTTATAAACCTGTCACCAACCGATGAGAAATTTAAAAGTCTAGCTATTCTTGCAAAATCTGTTCATCTAAGTGAAATCAGAAAAGTGCCAAAATGCATCTAGTTAGTTGGTTGTTACCTTATGAAACAAAAGAGCTAGAGAATATTAATAGTGACAAAAGCCTCCAAAATACCCAAACCAACACAGCATTTGGGGGCGCGGGGACTGGGGACTGAACTCTGGTCCTTGCACTTGCAAGGCAGGCGGTGGAACCACTAAGCTAAATCCCCAGCCCAACACAGCATTTTTTAAGATGGTGAAATTGAAGAAGGAAAGAATTTTGTCTTGGGTCATATGGCATGCTAAGAGCAGAGCTAGAACTACATTTGGTATAGGTCTTTCAACTCTCTAAGTGTTTATTTTATTGCTCCATGCTGCTTATGTTATAAAATGATGAATTCCCACAGCCCGTATTCCTTTATTGGTATGTTAATATGCGTTATGTAAAAATAGGAGAAGGGAAGGGAAAAACTCTTATGCGAAGTACTAGGCTAGTGATGGCAAACCTTTTAGAGCTTTCAATAACATAAACAGCTTGCTGTGGCACTTGTGCCATAGGTTCACCACCACTATATTAGGCTAAACAAAATAAGCTGCAGTAAAGCACTTCTCAACGCTTTAGGATAATAGTATCAAATATATCTGTTTTAGGGAGGAAAACATACTGCAATTCAGCCTAAAACTATTTGTGGAACACATTTTCTAGGCTAAAAGGTTCAAAGAGTACCAAATTTAAACCTGGATTCTCATGTCATTACTCTCAATAAAAACACACTGATCTCTGCTACCCCATGCTTCACAGATACTTGGAAAAACCTCCAAAATAATCTAGCAGATTCACCCTGTAGTTATTACTTGTACAGGTGGTGGGAGCTTCAGCATCAATTATACGCGACCCTACTCTTGCTCTCAGTACCACCCACCTCTCCCCAGCCTCCTCCACACCCTCAACCACAAAATCAGGACAACTTCTAGGTCATCCCAGCCCTCACTACACACTTACCAGGGTGACAGTGCAGCTGTACTTATACGGAGGAAACATATCAGGCTTGACCTCTACAACCTTCACCTGAGATGTCCTGTTGTTTGGGCCACTTGGTACCTGTGGATCAGAACAAGTTATTTAGTGCTGCTTGTAAACCTCAGCCCAACTCCTGAGGTCCTGCATACTGAAAAAAACTTGGTGTCTTAGGGATCTTGCAGATCTGTGCTCTGAGCCCTCTGCACTGCCATCTGACAATCACCAGCCCACCAAAGAACACTGTTCAAGTCCAGGGATTGCCATACTTCTGTGTAGCTTCTAACACCACGTATTAGAAACACTAAAATCAAATTTACAGCTACTATCAAGTGACGAAAGAATGCAACAGTAATACATACACACACACACAGCTGAACAATTTCAGCACAGAGGTCATCTAGCTCAAGGCCCTACATTCTCTCCTCAGCACCACAAAAACAAACAAAAGACACAGACATACACACAAGAAAAAGCCATGTGTGTTACCTTCAGGTCATGGTAAAGCCTGAAAAAAAAACAGACTTAAAAAATTTGGTAGTAATTATTCTGGCCACACACGGATACAAAAACTTAAAAAAAAATAAAATAAAAAGCCCAGGAACAAATGTATTTGAATACACAGATTTGGGCTACATTGACTCTGTCCCAATACACACACACTCACACACACAAATGTTAAGGGAAGGAACTGAAAGTTAAAAGCGAGCACATTAGATTAATAGATGAATTTTCTGTATTTTTTACAATAGCCATGCATTCATTTGAAAAAATAGGCTGAACAGATTTGCCAACTAAATCCAGTATTTGATCCAAGACTGGACCCTAAAGTGGAGGTGAAAATACTATATAAGAGATATAAGTGGGTAAAATTGTCAGAATTAGAATATGAATAGACTTGTGCAAGACATTTCAGTAAAAGAATACCTCTAGTCTTAAGAAGTACACAAGGAAAAATTAAGAAGTAAAAGGCCATGTAATTTGCCCTTAAATTATGCCTATTTTATGCACACATGTACATGTACACACACATAAAGAGGGCAATATTAATAAAAATGATAAACTAAAATGAGTTAATTTCTTAACAGATGACTGGGTAAAGAGCATATGGGTGTCCTATTTGGTGAATCTTTTTGTTCTAAATTATATATTATAACTTTTGTTCTAAATTACATATTAATTCTAAACAAAAGGCTTGAAAATATGTATTCAATTTATAAAAATAAGTTACTTTAAAAATAGAGAAATCAGACCTAAATATTAAAAAGGAAACACTAAACTTGTTGGAAGATAAGCTAGGCGCAACTCTTGAAGACACTGGCATAAGAAAAGACTTTATGAACAAATCCTCAGTAGCCCAGGAACTAGCACAAAGAATCAACAACTGGGATCTCACCTTTAGCACTTCTGCAATGCAAGAGAAACCACCAATAGAGCTAAGAGACAACCTACAATGTCGGAAACAATTTCTACCAGCTGCTCCTCAGACAAAGGACTATTAGGTAGAATACATAAAGAAGTCAAGCAAATCAGGCCCCCCAAATATAAAGACCCGATTCAAAAATGGGCATCTGAAATGAGCAGACATTTCACAGACGAAGTAAAAGTAGCAAATAAATATGTGAAAAAATGTTCCACATCACTGGTCATTCGAGAGATGTAGATGAAACCAACACTGAGATTCCCAGGAAAGAATGGCTGCTATCAAGAAATCAACCAATAAAAAATGCTGGCAGGGTGTGGGGAGGCAGAAACTGTTCTTCATTGTTGGTGGGAGTGCAGATTGGTGCAACCACTGTGGAAATCAAAACGGGGATACATTAAACAACTAGGATTAGAGGTCCCATTTGACCCAGCTATTCCCCTGTTGGATATTTTCCCAAAAGAATTCAAAGAAGAATACCACAGTGATATATGCAATACCCATGTTTATAGCGGCACAGTTTGTAATAGCTAAAACTTGGAAACAGCCCAATTGTGCATCAGCTGGAGACTGGATAAAGAAGATGTGTGTGCGTGTGTGTGTGTGTGTAATAAAAATGGAATACTACTCAGCCACGAAGAATGAGGCATTAGAGACTTTTTCAGCTAAGTAGATGCACATTGAGGACATACTCAAGTGAAATTAATAGGACACACATGTAAATACTGTATACTTTCTCTGGTGTGAAAAATTAAAAGTGTAAATAAGGGTCAAAATGTATAATTGATATTTTGTAATAGGAAGAAAAGGTCTAAAGGGTCAAGTGAGAGGAGTAGGGAAAGGGAAGGGAAAAAATAAAAGGAAAAAAATAGAAACTATGTCTTTGTAAATAGGGAAGGGTGGAGGGGGAAAGGGAGGTTAGGGGAAAGGGGAAAAAATAAGAACCAGGATATGTCACATAAAGGTGCAAGATCCCAATGATGAATGTGAGTCTATTGTATATCTAAAATGTACCAATGAAAAGTACTTTTAAAAATACAATAGAGAAATCATTCTGTTTATGCCCCTCGGAGGTCTACCACTGTAAAATCTGGAGTCTGAGGCTGCCTTTTGAAATATCAAAGAGAAGTGGCCAGATGCCCAAACAGCCTCCGTTCTGGGGAACGCGTCTTACCTTCATTTCACCAGTGCTAGGCGGCTGTTGCACAGACTGGCCCAGCTGCTTCAGTGTGCTCGGCTTCAGGCCGCAAGTCCTCACGGAGGAAGCCTTGTCTGAGAGAACCAGGAGACACACGGATGACTTGTGTGCATTCAGTCTCCCACAGTTCTCATCTCCATTCTCCACCCAACTCCTTCCCACCGGGGAGCCCTGTCTCAGCCCTTACCACTCAGGGAAAAGGCCTGCCTGGCCCTGGGCAGTCCCATGCTGCTGCCTCGCCCCACATTAGCCGGGGCTGGCAGAATTGCTCTCATGGGTCTTGCTGCAGCCAGTAATGAGGGCTTGCCCCGCGCTCTGCCTTTAAGCTCTGGGGTTCTGGGCCCAGTGCTGAGTAGGTCAACTCTGTAAGAAAAAATTAAAACTTAAAAACAAAAAGGAAATCTGGAAATTCTGATCCAAGGGGTATAAAACCAAAACACAATCTCCATACAGCACCTTATTAGAAGACGGTAAATAGTTAAACTATGAGGCTTCTGAAAGATTTTCAACTGTGTGCCCTGACTCATGCCTGTAATCCAGCAAATCAGGAAGATTAGACAGAGGATTATAAGTTCAAGGCCAACCTGGACAACTTAGTGAGACGTCTTAAAACAAAAAATAAAAACAGCTGGGAATGTAGCTCACTGGAAGAAAGCCTCTGGGTTCCATCTCTATTGCTGAGGAATAAAAAAAAAGAAGTTCAAATCCAACCATTATGTTGTTGTGTGACCCTGGGCAAATAACTGTACTCTTCCATTAATCTCAAATTTCTACTATGGAAAATAGGATAGTAATTACTTACACTTTAAGCGGTCATTAAAAAGACACAAAAGAATAACACAGGGCCAGCTAACTTCTTGTTGCTAAGGATATCCAGTGTATCAAAGGATGTTTAGCATTCCTGCAGATGCTGCCAATAAGTCCCTCCTCAGCTGTGATAACCTCTAAACATTGCTGAAATGTTCCCTGGACTAACAGTATTCCCAAGCGAAAACCACTGATATAAACAAATAAGGACCTACCCTTATAAGAAAAAAATAGCACCAGAAAGGGCATGTTGAATCCAGGGCCTTTAGTGATGAAAGAAAAAGTGAGAAAAAGCCCAAACTTACTGACTGCCCTATTTCTAAGGTACTGGTTTGTATAGTTTACACACACCCTTTTTCAGTCTGCAGTTAGCCTGTGAGGATAAGGATTTTTCAATATCCAGCATAAGATTTTTCAGAAGAACTGAAGTCCAGTGGCAAAAAGCAACTATGCCCAAGGACAAACAGAAGTCTCTCGTTATGACTAAAAACTGAATCTTCCACCAGAAAGGGCTCCTTGTATGTGGAGCCTTAACAAGGCTTCTCTTTCTAGATCTCGTATCTAAGACAACTGACTCATAGTTTATTATATTCGCCACAGCCTGTATCAACAAAATTCTAATAACTGCTGCAGGAGTTTGGCTCAGTGGTTCCACTGCCTGCCTTGCAAGCACAAGGGCCTGAGTTTGATCCCTGGTACAAAAAAAGAAAGAAAGAAAAGAAAAGAAAAGCTATACAAGGAATCCAACAGCTATGTGTGGACAGTACATTATAACAAGTGTCTAGACCTTGGTTTCTCTAACTCTACAAGACGAACTGTTAACTGGGCTCTGCTGCCTCTCTCACGAAGGCTGTAGAATGCTGTAGACAGGGACAAAACAAACACGGAACACTTCCAAAACTGCTGTTCTAAATATACTGTCAATAACATAATCACGCTGACTTACCCTGTAGGCTTTTTAGGAGCAGGGAGTTGGGTGGAGGTGCTGGTCCCCTCAGCTGGAGGTGGCGGTATTTCTAGTCCGGAACTATCCTTCTCAGTTGACCCCAGAGTGACTTCAGGCTTGACGACTGGCACCTTAGTGACTGCTGTACCACAGATCCCAGGAGCTTCCTTAACCAAAATATGGGCATCGGAGACAATCACTTCCTCCCACTCATTCTCCTCCCCCACTTCTCCTGGAGGAGCTACATTTAAGAGCTGGCTTACAGCTTCTGAATTCTCCAGAGTCAGTTTGCAGGCATTTTCCTTTGAGGAATTTTGTTCAGGCTGTTGACTTCTTTTAATCACAGAACCTTTGGAGGAGACACCAGAAGCCAATTCCACTTTGACTCTCGCTGGCTTTTCCTAGAAAAAACAAGAATACTTTGACAAAATTACCAAATATTTTTATTTGATCCTTTATATGTATATAATATATTAAATATTAAAATATATTTATATATTTCTTTATATTTATAATGAAACTGAGTCCCAAGGAGAGGAAGAGGCTAACTTAACATCCAATTATAAAACTGGTATGACTCTAAGTCTTCTCTGGAGAAATTTCTTATTGGCATGTGTCTTTTTATCAAGTTGATTTTTGACTTTTCAAAGGCCAATTCTCTGTATCTAGAAAGAAGCTGACAAACTGCCACACTGGGCTTAAAAGGTTCCAATATGGTCACAACTTCACATCATGTTTCCACCTCCTTTGGGAACACCTTACCTTTCAAGTAAATCTTCTATTTTGTTTGTTGTGCAGTACAAATGCTCTATAACCCTAGGCTCTCAGCATCTTTACAATGACTTACACATTTCACACTGGGTCAGACTAACTCTTACACGTATTAGTTATGTGATAGAAAATATTCAAGCTTGTTAAAAATTGCAGCTGCTATCTCAGATCTACTTTTAAAGTTTTGGGTGTCTTACCTTTTATCCAGTCAGCACCACTATGGAAAAAACAGCATGTACATATACATATGTATTTACAAATGTATACACTTTAAAAAAACTTTTTTAAACAATGGTTTTCTCAGAAATAAGTTTCAGAAAGTTTTTTTCCTTCCATGCAGCATGGAAGGTACCTACCATAAACTAGGTACCAAAAGGAGACATAAAGCATAAAAGCTGAGTTCTATCTACACTCAGCTCCACTCCTATTTAGTTATGTGGTTTAAGGCAAGATCATAAATCCTCACTTCCTATATGAAATATCAGAGCCTTGGGCTCTCAATGTTTGTCAACAAAAGCAAGACAGCAATTTGAGTAGCCTAGTTCTTCACTGTGCTGGAACATAAATTCAAAATGATGCTTCTGTTATAAACCCATTACATTTCCAAAACCATCTGGACAGTGTCCTTTTCCTGGTTAAGGACCACTAACTCTCCAGTAAAATATTCTCAAGAGTCTCACACAGTAGCCCCTGAAGATGAGTAAACGTGGAGAAAACTTCCAAGTAAACTTCACAAAAGCTTATTTACTGCAGGACAGGGAGAAGTCAGCAAAGATACAGCAGACTAAAGTCATACTTTGAGATGTGATCTTTGAGCAAAACACTGCCTACTAAGTAGTTGATTTCAGACAAAAATTCTTTGCAAAAAGAGTAAGGTATTTTTAGATGTTGTTTTCTTTCAAGATGTAAGGTAATACAACAGCTGCCCACTCACAGACCTCAATTTCTCTCCAGAGCTCATAAGAACAAATCCTTGAGCTGAATAACTTTATACACTCTTCTTTGGTCCGATCCAATTCATGGGGAACTATGCCACACTTTGGGGCTAATTTTAGCCAGTCTGAACTCTATGACAGTGTAAGAATAGGTGAGTCATTTCCTGACTGGCGCAGACACATTTGGAGTTTGTACAAATGATTTATATTTGTTGCCTTAAATATCAGAACTAGGAAATTTTAAGATTTTGTAGTTAACAGCACAACAATGCCTGAGAAGTATGATTTACTGGAAAAGGAACTGGCAAAGTTACCTGCGTGAACTTAACAAGTCACTTCTCTTTGGTTTATTTTTGCTCAGCTAGAAACTTAAAGAGATGAATAACTGATAAACAGTTTCCTTTATCCCTAAAATTTTAAAGTGCATAGATGCTGAAATGTTACCTTTTTTTCTGCTCACACTTATTCAAATGCTGGGGAGAGGGGGAGACTTAGCAAGTCAAGAAGGGGTGGGTAGCTAAGAATAAAAATTGTTTTCAGGTCATGAGCTCAATCTCAGTAAGAGAACCATGATTCAAACACCATTTCAATCAAAGGAAACACACACATGGGACGTGCACACATGAGAAGTGCAAAGTAAAAACAGGCCAAAAGAGAGAAAAGCCTCCCCTAATTCTTTCCTCAAAAAGCAAAGGCTACAAAGTCATTGCAGAGAGGTGTTTCGCACTGATGAGGTATGGCCAAGGAGGATTCTGAAAGCCGTTCGTCTTAACATCCTTTACATCCTTTTTTTAACATCCTTGACATCCTTTTGTAGCTGGCAGAGTGCATCTTTGGGGAATATAGTGGGAATATTGGCTTCAAAGGCACACCAGAGAAAAAGGACTCAAGAACTCAACAAAGCCTCCTGAGACACTAGCACCAGTCCTTCCCAACCCCAGAGGTGATAGGTAACACGGATAGCAGTAACACATATATAATTACACTAGTATTAGGCATGAAAAAGACAGGGTACATTTTTCTGAGGATTTGATATGTATAAGAAACTGTCCCAACCACTGTACATGGATAATGTCAGTACTGTTCTGAACTTCCATATACAGGTAAGAAGAAACCTAAATTTTAAAAAAAGGTATAAAATAAGCTGTCCAAGATTACACAGGTAAAAACTTGGGACGCAAGTTTGAAATGAAGACACTAACTCCAGAATTATATTAATTATTGCTAGTGTTTGCACCTTAGATGTTCCTTAAAGGTCCATGTGGTAAAGGCTTGCCCCACCCCTGCCCCCAAAGTGCTCTTAGGACACTGTGGTGTCTTCAAATGGTGGGAAGTAGTGGAAGGTTTTAGGTCGCTGGGGACGTACTCTTGAAGAGAACTGTGGAACCCTGCTCCTTTCCTCTGTGTCATTTCCTAGTCACGAGGTAAGCAGTTTTGTGCTGCCACACACTCCCACTGTGATGTGTTGCCCAAATGACACCACAGCAATCTGGCCAATTGATCACAGACTCTAACAGTTACAGCACTTTCTTGTCACTGTGACAAAATACCTGGCACCCGCAACTGAAGGAAGAGAGGTTTATTTTACTCGATGAGTGCAGTGGGTTCAGTCTATAGTTAGCTGACTCCATGGCAGAAATGGCACAGTGAAGAAAAGCTGCTCAACCCACGGCATCCAGAAGCAGAGAGGGAAGTGAAGAGCTGGGGCCACGAATACACCTTTCTAGTTCATGTCCACAGTGGCCTGTCTCTTTCGACCAGGCCCTATTTTTTAAACTATGAGACTTTAGTGGGACATTTTAGAGCTAAACTATGGGCTAAAACCTCCAAATCTAAGCCAAAATAAGTCTGTTCCTGTATAAACTGATATCTCGGGGGCTCATGCTGAGTTAAACACATGACGATCACAACCCTACCCTAAGCCAGTTTTATAAAACCTAGGCCAGTGGAGGCAAACCTACGGCGCGTGCACCACAGTGAGCACACAGAGCCTCCCTGTTGTCACGACAGCCGCGTGTACGTGCTGTTTTCTAAACTAAACCTCAGTATTCAGGTTTAATTGCAGCGTTGACCCTTTGCAATTAATAAGTGGGTTATGGCTTGCAGTTTGGGAACTTGGGTCTCTAAAAAGTTCACCAACACTGTCTAGGCAAACTCCACTGATCCTTCAAAACTATCTACTTTACTAAACCTTGCCTATTCCAGTCCTTGTGTCTTTCCTATCTGAACTTACTGAGAATTAACAATCTGCACTATACATTTTGGTCCTAAAAATTTAGTATCATATAAAAAAGCATGAGAAGTAGATACGGTTTTTCTAGTAGGTGCCAAGCATGAAGTTAACAAAACACACTGCATTAATGGTATAATTGGGAGTGTGAAATAGAAAGAAAATGGCTAAAGGGGAAGTGGGAAGGGGAGGGGAAAGGAATTAAGGGAAAAGAAAAAAATGTAAAAAAAAGGAAAAAATGGAAACAAAGTCTTTGTAAACAGGGAAGGGTGAAGGGGGTGAAGGGAGGGCAGGGGTGTGCGGAAACAACAAGAACCAAGACCTGTCATGCAAAGGTACAAGATCCCAATGATGAGTGTAACCATATTGTTGGCTTTAAATGTACCAAGAAACAATGGAAGGGGGGATATGCGGCATTGAACTTCACAGGAGCCTAACTGTGATACTATTATTTACTGAGCATCTTCTTTGGCTAAAAACTTCGAGGGTTTTAAAGGTCATCAATGAGCTTACAACATGACAGAAACACCATTAAACTGTAATGACTGCTAAGTGTTAAAGAAGTCACCCATTCTTCCTTATGAAAACCTAGAGATGTTTCATGGAAGAGCTGACATTTACAATGGGTCACGGCCCATTACAGTGTTATGTATTTATTTCAGACACAGAACAACCAATTAGTTTGGCTACAAGAGAGAGATGTGGAGAGAGGAAAGAAGGGAGACAGAGTGGGAGGGAAGGAGAGAGGAGGATGTACGGGAGGCAAAGGCTACACCGCAAAAATAAAGAGTTAAGACTGTGGAAACTGAACTTCAGGTTAAGGATTTCCACTTTTAAGAACAGTTTTAGGAGAAAAAAGCCTGAGTTAAAGCAGTAAAATGATATGAGATAATAATAACTAAGCAGTCAGTATGGAGGGTAAATTATTAAAATTCAATCCTAACAGGAAGTAAATTAACACAGGGTAGTCATTCATGGGAAATTATGAAGCAATTCAAGATAGCATTTTAAAAGAATTTAGTGATAAGCTGAATGAAATAAAAAGATATAGAACTTATACACAGAAAAAGACTACAAAAAAACACAATTAATAATGGCTTTTCTTTGGATGATATAAGATTATGGCTAACATTTCATTTTTTTTTAAATAAGCTATTTATAATTAAAATTATTTAGTCATACAGTCAGAATAAAAATATGTATTTACTTTTATAGAGTGATTTGTCAATAAGGACAACAGGAAGCTTACTCGGTTGGGCTTCCAATACATAATAGCCAATGGACCTTACCTTTGGGATCCACTTTCCTCCTAGGAAGTTACCACAGGCTGGGCACTTAGGTGGTTTATGCCTGGTGACATATGTAAAGGAACAACCTGGACTGGTGCAAGTCCCATGGCCCCGGCGGGTATAGGTAGTTGTCTGTTTTTTTAAAAAAAAAGTGTCAGAATCAAATGTGTCCAATCTCTCTCAAACCTTATCATTCATTAAAACCACAACATTAGAACACAACTTCTGAAAGGACAGTTGTTCATGGTACACAAAAGGTCAGAGCTGGATGAGTCCTAATGTACAAGTCCTTCTTTTTAGAAATGAAGAAACTTGAGTTCAATGGGGAAAGCCAGCTGCTTATGGCCAACACAGTTAGGTAACAGAAGAGCGAAGGCAGTGATAGCTGCTATTAACTGACCAAGGTACTAACTAGACAGTGCTAAACATTGCCAAGGCTTCATTTAATACTCTTAGCAATGTTATTCAGCAGGTATTATTACTACCGAGGTTCAGAGTAGTTCAAAGCTTTGCCTCAAATCATACAGTGACTCAGGGCAAGGCTAGACCCAGAATTCACGTCTGGGATTTTGATGTGCAATTACTTCTATGTACCTACCTGCACCCTCTGGTTCTGAATACTTCAAAAAATTTGCTTCATCTTTACTCTTGGTAGTTAAAAATCAGAGAACCTAAGACCTTGGATTCAGGGATACAAAAACAGACCCATAGTCACTGAGGATAAAGACAAAAGAAAATTCAGGAATAGTCAGGTGTGGCGGCGCATGCCTGTAATCCCAGCACTCGGGAGGCTGAGGCAGGAGGATGGTTGTGAGTTCGTGACCAACCTGGGCTACACAGTGAGTTCCAGGGCAGTCTGAACTACACAGTGAGACCCTGTCTCAAAAAACCAAAAAAAAAAAAAGGAAATCCAGGATAGAAACCAGGTCCTTTGATACTGACCAGGAATTAAGTTATTTGCAAATGAATGCATTCAGCTACTATCTCTACATCTCTGCTGAGCCCCCTTTCATTAAAATGTATTATAATGGGTTATTATTCATTGGACTTGGTCTATTTCTAGATTAATGCTAGAAAGACAACATTTCCCTCTTAAATGTGTCCTGTCACTTATAAATGTTTACTCAGCTATTATTCCCAGCCTCCCCTATCCTGGCCAAATAGCAAAAGCCTCCTTTGGGAAACAACAAACTACCACCAGCTACCTCTGCCAGGAAGCCGAATGAAAAGCTGATTATTACAGTGGTACCAAGTCAAGGATGAGTGCAAAGAGGTGTGGCACCAAAGAAGGAGACCAGTCTTTAAGTTCTAACTTTGCCATAACACTGAATGATCTGGGTGTAAATCACCTTTAACTTATGGACCTTGGTTTCCTCTTCCTATTCCACAGGTGTGTCTCAAGGAGCATGTGGTAAAAAATCAGGAAGCATTCACTCAGTAAATTGTGAAAGATTCTATTGGTTTGTGAGAAATTATTGTTGCTGAGATGTAAAATACGTCTATATTTTCTCAGACCAAAGCCCAATTCAAAATCTTCTCATTGAATACCTCCAGGAAGCAGAAAAAAAACCTAATATATGTTAGTACTCTGAGTAAATTAATATGAACCTGAAAATACTCCTAAAGAGGAGCCTATAGAAGTGACTTTAGAAAAAAATGCTAGTATTCCATGCAGATGTTTTAGTACCATTACTCACAGAATACTTTTTTAAAAGAACTTAGTTGACACTTTGTTTTTTTCCTGGGGTTTTTTGTTTGGTTTTAGTTTGTTTGAGACAAGGTCTTGTAATATAGCCCAGATTGGCCTAAAATTTGCAATCCTCCTTGTTCTGAGGGCTGGCATTATCAACATGAACCACCATGCTGGCTTGGCTAACACTTTTAGAACATGACAGAACAGTTCTCTCTCTCTCCCTCTCCCTCTTCCCTCTTGCTCTCTCTTAGTTGAGGCTGGCCTCGAACTTAGAGTGATCCTCCTGCCTCAGCCTCCTGAGTGCTGGGATTACAGGCGTGCACCACTACCTCCAGCAGAACAGTCACTTCTAGGAGCACAAGGGCTCAGGAAAAATACCTTTTTCTCCATGAAATCAAGATATAGCAGCTGTTCCCATTTTAAAATATGTACTGCAACTGTCTTATCCAAAAGCATACTGTTGTCCCTACCGGGCATGGTGGCGCATGCCTGTAATCCCAGCACTAGGGAGGCTGAGGCAGGAGGATCGCTACAAGTTCGAGACCAGCCTGGACTACATAGTGAGTTCCAGGTCAGTCTCAACTACATAGTGAGACCCTGTCTCAAAAATCCAAAAAAACAACAACAACAAAAAACCAAAAGCGTACTGTTTAGCGAAGCAGTTACTCAAGGCCTATGACTATAGCTACTTGGGAAGGTGAGGGAGATCAACTAGGAGTTGAAGACAAGCCTGGCAACATAACAAGATCCCCATCTCAAAAAACAACAATAATAAAACTCCACAAAGAATACACTGTTTATCTATAGTACGGCCTTTTGAAGGTAAGACAAAACTATGATAATTTTGAAAATATATACTATTTCTTTCATTAAACTACTAAAATAACCGAAATAGAGCCAACATCTAATAAGCCATTAAAATAGAGAGAAAATGGATTCATAAAAATTCAATTAAAAGAAGATAATAAAACAAATGGGACAAACAGGTAATAGAACTAAATCTAACCGTATCAATATTTATATTAAACATAAATGCCTTAAATGATTTAAAAGATAAATTGTCAGGTTTTGCTTTTATACCAAAACTATATGCTATGCTGCTGCCTGCCTTGCAAATGCAAGGACACAAGTTCAATCCCCGGTACCAAAAAACAAACAAATAGACAAACAAACAAAAACTATAGGCTATGCACAAGGGAAAGAAAAGAAACCCCACTTCAAATATAAAGACACAAACTGGTTAAAAGTGGAAGAATGGAAAAAGGGATATCATACTAATAAAATTTGGACATTAGATAAGATTTCAGAGCAAAAATTTTACTAGAGATGAAAATGCTCATTTCATAATAACACAGGCATCAATTCATCAAGAGCACATAACTCTAAACCAATAAGAGTCAAAAGGTATGACACAAAAAGTAATAGCACTCTGTAATGATGGCTGGATGCCTTTCCTCAATATGCAGCAGAACAAATAAATAAAAAATTAGGAAAGCTATAAAAGAGCTGAACAACATCATCAATCAAACTGACTTAATTTGACATGTATAGAATACTTCAATAGCAGAAAATACATTCTCTTGAAATGCACATAAAATACTTATCAAGATAAACTTTACTCTAGGTCAGCCATTAAACAAATCTCAATAAATCTGAAAGGACTCAGGTATATAAACCATAAAGCTCTGGCCAAAAAAGAAATTAGAAATCAATGACAGAAATATATCTGGAAAATACCCAAATATTTGGAAAATAAGTAAAATATTTCTATGTACCTTATGGGGTCAAAGAAGTAAATCAATATTTTGAACTGAATCAAAATGAAAATGTGCTGTTATCAGAATTTATGTGATAGCACTAAAACAGTATTTGGTGGGAAATTTATAACCCTAAGCATCTATATTAGAAAATAGGTCTTCAATCAACATCAGTTTCTATCTTAAGGAAATAGGAAAGAGTAAGCCAGGCACAGTGATGCACACCTGTAATCCCAGCACTCAAGAGACTGAGGCAGGAGGGTCACAGCAAGTTCACCATAAGTTAAAGCCCAGCCTGGGCTACATAGTGAGTTCAAGGCTAGCCTGAACTACAAAGTAAGACTGTGTCTCAAAAGGAAAAAACAAAAAAGAAAACAGAGATGAGCAAATGATCAGTGAAAGAGAAGGCAAAAACAAAAGAGAAAAATCAGTGAAACCAAAAACTGGTTAGTTGAGACCAATAAAACTGATAAAGCTCTAGCTAGACATCTCAAGGGAAAAGAAAGACCCAGATTATCAGTAACAGGAACAAGAAATGAAATCACTACAGATGGTATAGATATAAAGTTCCTTAAAAGTTTAAACAAAGAATTACCACGCGACCCAGCAATTTCACTCACATACTCAAAAGAATATCATGGAAGGACTCAAACTAATACTTGTATACCAAAGTTCAAGCAGCATTATACACAACAGCCAAAATGTGCAAATAATCCAAATGTCTATCAACAGATGGATAAACAAAATGTGATACACACACACACACACACACACACACACACACACACACACACACACACACAGTGGAGTATTACTCGGCCATAAAGATAAAATTCTAATACATGCATGATGTAAGATGGGTGAATCTTGAAAACCTTAAGTGAAAAAGGCTCACACAAAAGTACAATTATTTGAAAGTAGAGCAGAGGTTATGAGGGGATGGAAGGTAGGAATATTGAGTTACTATTTAATGGGTATATAGTTTCTATTTAGAACACTGAAAAAATTCTGGGAAATGGTACACTGTGAATGTATTTATTGCCACTGTACTACACACTTAAAATGTTTAAAATAACAAATTTTACATCATGTACCATCTTACCACAATTTTTTAAAAAGAGTAATAAGCGAATATTATGTTACATCAACACAACCTAAATGAAATGACAAATTCCGTGAAAGACAGAATATCCAAAGTTCATTAAAAAATACTCTATTACTTATTGGTAATCTAAATAATCCTGTATGTCATTTAAAAATTACACTCACAGTTAAAAACCATCCTACAAAGAAAACTCCAGGCTCCCATGACCTTACTAGTAATTCAAACACTGAAGAAATAATGTGAAGGAGACAAACAGAAGGGGAGAAAATCCTTCCCAAGTCATGAGACAAAGCATTACTCTAATATGAAAGCCAGACAGACCATAAAACATTAGAGTAATGTCCCTCATGAACATGGATTCAAAAATTCTGAATAAAATTTCAGCAAATCTAATCCAACAATATGTAAGAGGGATAAAAGGTCGTTGTCAAATAGGCTTTATCCCAGCAATGCCAAACATTTGTAAAACAATGAAGTAATGAAGTTCTCCACATTAACCAACTAGAAAAGAAATAATTTCAGTAGATACAGAAAAAGCATTTGACAAAATCAAACATCCACTCCTGATAAAAATTCCTAACACACCAGAAGCACAAGGAAACTTCCTGAACTTGTTAAGGGGATCCTATGGTGGGGGATTATCTGCTCTTAGCACTTCCATTCAGCACTATACTATAGGATCTCTAGGCAATGAAATTAGGCAAGAAAAAAGGTAACATGAATCCAGGTCATAAAGGAAAACTAAGACTACTCAGAAAGATTGCCTTTATAGAAAATACAATCAAATCTACAAAAAAGCTACTAGAACTCATGAATGAGTTCAGGAAAGTCACAAGATATACAAATACATATATTCTACTGTATTAATACATACTAGCAGGAAATCAGTGCAATTTGTACAAATACCACTTATAATAGAATGAAAACATGAAGTATTTAGGGATAAATCTCAGACCAGATACTGTAATGTTTGATGGAAAAAGACATCAACTGAGAATCAAGAAGCCAGAATCCTGGCACTGGCTTGTTTGTAGCTTAGTGTCCTTGAAATTCCTTTCTTTTCTCTGGGCCCTTTAAAAAATCTGTATAATAAGAGCATTTAATTAGATCAGTGGCCCCTCAATTTTTCAAAATGATGTATTCTTCCAAAAATCTGGTAAAAGTAATGGAACTGATCCAAGTATGATGCTCTCTAGATGTTTATACATAACTCGAGGGGAATTCATGATCCTGTAGCGCTCTACCTGTGGAGCCCCCATTTTAGAACACATGGATCACTTAATTCCTGAGACCTTTACCAATCCCAAGATCCCACGATGCTAAGATTTTTAGAAAACTACTTGGAAGAGGATACTGACAGAGCCCTAATTACTGTCAACTCTCCCACATACTGACCAGTTTGATAGGAGAGGGATTTTCCACAACTGAGTAGGTAGGCACAGGCAACATGATGAACTGCGTGGTTGGTGTAGAGGAGCTACTCTCATTGGAATCCTGTGGGCAACAGAGAAGGATAGTTTCACTGAAATAGAACACAGAACAGCCAGGGCAACAGTCAACACCAGAATACTGGACTGAATCCAGTACCCACAACGTGCTTGTACAATATACTTACCAAATCAAATCAATCTAAAATCACCTCAAAATAAAGTTTAGGAGCAAAAAAGAAAACGACCATAGAAAATGTGCTACCCTCATTTTACAGATGAAAAAAAGTGAAGTTTTAAGAGATTTGAACTTCCAAGATCATATAAGCTATTAGTGAGACAATCCCATTCTTGTGACCTTGTCAAATTTTTTTAGCATACCATTAAACTGCTTTAACTAAGCAGTGGCCCATCATAAACAGCACCCCAGCCACAAATAAAAAATAGGATTTATTAGGTCTCAGATGGATTTCTCTGCAGAAATACCTGCTTTCTTCCACATAAATCATAGGGGCTAGAAGATTTTGGCCTTCTCAGCCTGAATAGAACATCCATTTATCTGAGGATGGTATCCTATTCAGGGTGAAAGAGTGAGGCTTACATACTAGACACAGAGGTAGTTTCCCTACTTCTAGGGGACAAGGTTGTAGAATCAATGAAACTGCTGCTTTCCCCTCAACTTAGCATGATTTTCAGGCCAGCACAGAGAAGCTTGCCTCTTCCTTCTCAGCTACTACCAGAGTCCCATCAACCTGGCCTTGAGAAGATTATCTTTGTTCCTATTCCACAAATGCCCAGAAGACCTTTTAATGATTCTCCTATACAATTTAAGATGCCACTGTATTTCTTGAAATAGTTTCTAGGAACACAAAATCCTAACTGGTACTAATAACCTGAAAGATCTGACCCTGGAATCACAGATAGCCCTAAATATCATTTCCAGCTCTCCTGCCAATGCTAGGTAAAGAAGAGTCGATAGGAGTGGCCCAAGAAACTAAGGAGAACTTTGGAGCAAACTTAGGGGTCAGAAATGTTCAAGGGAAGTGCCATAACAGCACTAGAAGTGCCACATAGCACTCTTAATTACCACTGCTCCAAAATGACACCGCATGGTGCTGGATGCTTTTTTAATATTTCCATATAAAGCAAAACACCACTTACCCTCATGACTGTCACCACTGACACATTCTCCCCAACCTGGGTGCGGGGCACAGCCAGGTTTCCAGTGGGAAGTTCTGATGAGCCGTTCAGTAAGGTCTCTTCAATTACCAGGTTTGTCTGATAAGGCTGGTGGCTCTCCCCTACCTCCAAGGAAGCCTCCTCCAGGAGTACATCCTGGGTGAGGATCTCTGAGGTGGCAATCTCCTGCACAGCACCTGGCTGAGCAAGGGCTCCCACCTCCTCAGCCAGAGTCTCCTCAGCCAGGCACTGCTCTGCTACGCCCGCATGGCTGGGCACTGTCTCCGGGGCGGTGTTGGACACAAGAGAAGGTCCTTTAGGGGACATCTGGCTCTGAGTTACACATAGCTCTAGCTGAGTGCAGCTCTGATCCTCCTGCAGGCTGCTCTTGGGGATGATGATATATTCTGAGCGTGGGAGGATCTTGCGGAAACCTGGGATGTCTGGAACCACAGCAGTCACTGTAGATAGCTTAGCATTCTGAGAGTAAAAAAAAGGAGAAGACAGAGATAAATGGACTAAGATCATATAGAAACATGTATCAGCTCATTTTTTTCTATAAATGTGGCTAGAAAAAGACCCCACACTCTTAACCTTAGATAGGGCCAGCCTCTGTCAACAGCAGTACCATCTTCATTTAAATCAAAGTAGCTTACTTGCCCAATCACACAAGAAACACGTAACACAGATTAAACTGTGGACAGGGCACTGATTTGGGTGTCTAAAACTGTGAGCTGAATTTGATGTCTGGCATGGTCTTGAACAAATGTTGTCCCCCTCTACCCCCAGGCCAACGCTGTCCCATCTGTAAAACAAAGAAGCTAAACCTGACAATTTTTAACACTCTTTTGAGTTCTGAAACTAAGATTTCAAAGTGGCATAAGATTTAAACACCAGAATGTATGATGCTAAAAAAAAAAAGAATAGGAGAAGGAGGAGGGGGTGAGCAAAGGCTCAAAAGCATCAAGCACAGCAGGCCAAGCAGAACTTGACACAGCAAATCAAGCAATCGCTGGTTTCTCCAGACTTACAAAGAAGATGCACAGGTCACAAAGCTGAGAAGGCTTGTGAGAAAAAGTGTACATAGGGACTGTCTCATAAAGTCCTGAATATATTAGAAAAATAAGAATTAGCACTGCCCTAGCACCTTGAGGTTTAGAAAACACTTTTTAACTTTACCTTAAAAATAACACTATTAAGCTAGGAGCTGTCATTTAACACATGAAGAAATTGAAGCTGAAGCTCAGGAGGTTAAACTTCCAAAACACAATCAGTAAGCAGTAAAGAACTGTACTCCAGACCAAGTCTTCTCGTAAATGTGCTGCTGAAGCGAGCACAGACCCAGTCTTCTCTAAAAGCTCAAGAAGAACACATACTAGAAATAACCCTGGTGGCTAAGTGGTACCAAACAACAACAAAACAAAAACCATTTCTGTACCATTCAACTTAAAACTGAATGCTACCTACTCAAGAAAACAGAAGTTCAAAGTGAATGGTTGAGTGAGAACAAAAATTAAATGGCACAAAAAAATAAGGTCAGAAACATCTTTTAAAAGGAACACTGAAGTCAATTACCAAAGAATCCTTACATCAAAAGCAAGAAGTTGATGAGACTACTTAAGGCACAAGGGAAGCACTCAGAGATACAAGCTAAAAGCACTCAGATGAAACATGAAAGTAGACAGACTGAATACTTAATGAAACCTTTATTGGAGAGGTAATGGGGAAATTACATTCTCAAGTCACCCTTTGAAGCAGACAGGTTAAGGGCACAAGATTAAATGGTAGTAAATATACAGGATAGTCTAGACTTACATCCAAGCACAGAGAAACAGAATGATGTTACTTTTATAGACTGGAAGGAGTAACAGTAGAACCATGGGCCCTGCTCTCGGCAGGAAAAGGCTCCAAAAGGCTCCCAATGTAGAAAGGCAGAAGGGTCTCACCCTCACACAGGCAATCAGGAAGAAGACAGACACAGCACAGAAAGCTTCACTCCTCGTACATGCCAGATGCTCAATAACTGCTACCTTTTCTCATTATATGGTTACTGCAAGTCAAGCTACTGAAGTCAGTATGCACCAAGAACTCAGCTAAGTGATTACATTATCTACTTTAAACATTATGGGTAAATACCAGTTCCATGTTACACATAAGGCAAGCAAGACTGAAAAATTAAATGATTATCCCATGGTCATTTGCCCAAGCTAGTAACAAAGCTAATTCAGTCATGGTCTTGGTAGCAGTGGCAGAGATAGGGTAAATTTAAATAAGTGTATGGATAAGGAAGAATCATGATAAATGATTTAGATAAAAATTTTTAAATGTTGATAAGAACCTCTATCAGTGTCTATTTTTAAAAACCAAATCTAAACCAAATCATTCCAAGGTTAGATAAAATTTTCTTTATCACAGACAAAAAGACTGCCTTTTCCTTTTCTTTTTTCATGCTGAGGATTGAACCCAGAATCTAACATGTTTTAAAGCAAGTGGTTCACCACTGAGCTACACTCCAGCTAGTGCCAATTTGATAATGGGGACACCAAAGAGGACAGGTGTACCTATTTTGGACTCTACCTTTCCCCACCCCAGAGATTACTTCCCTGACTCATTGCTTACAAATAAATCACTTAAAGGGAGTAGAGTAGCATCTTCAAGACTAGGTAGCAGAAAACTCTTCAAGGAAGAGGTATGTCAAGCCAGTAAGGACAAAATCAGCTAAATGACAGTGGCAGAAGGACTCCAATGTACTCTGCTCCGCTATAACATAGCTGTTGCCTTCCTAAGGAGCCTTTGCTCTATATTATAAAAAAAGAAGTTAGAGATGATTGTCTCAACTGGAAAAAGGAGTGCAGGTTATAGGCAGCTTGCGGCAGCAAGGTTATTTTTCCAGTACAATTTGAATGGTACTCAGTGTACTTTGTCGCTGTGAACTAGAAATAACAAAACAGCTGACACACATAAATCTAACTGCTTCCTTGCTAGTTCTTTTATCAAAGCTCTCAAATCCTTAGTCTTCTATAAATCTTTGACTTTAATCCTGCATTTTGCTTCTAGCATACCATAGTTCATAATCATCATAACAAAAGAATCTGCTGTTCAAAAGGCAGCTGCACTAACTCTAAACATGAAAGCCTGATTATAACAACTGACAGCAGTCAGTAAAACAAAAACTACACTACATTCAATCTGTACTGTGAAATATGATGCAGGAGAAATGCCTTCATAAGTTAGTATATTAAAGGAAAATACCACTAACTACCCAAGAGGATAATGGCCTCCAAATTTTATTAAAATTCAGAAAAGGAACCTAAGAATCACTGCAAAGAACTCAGTAAATGCCAGCTCCATGTACTGCTGCAATCTAAGAGGATGAAAAAGTGCACGGTATTATCAAAGTGGAAACAACTAGGAAGCTCAAGAAAGACAAAGTGGTAAGTTTTCCACAGAAAAGGAAAGAGGAAAATAGGCATTGGCCTCCCCAAGCGTTTCCCCATTGAGCCAACAGAGAAATTAGCTGGGGGTAGGAACACTTACAGGATCCAAACCTTCTTTCTCTAGTTTGGCTTTTTCCAAGTAGTAACTCCTCTCGGCCACACTGAGAAGCCTCCAACTCTCACTAATCTTCTTATTGATCTCAGACTGCGGGAGGTGGGGGAGCTCCTGCTGCACTTTCAAGTAGATGTCATAGTAGTATAAAAGGTAAGCAGACCTGAGGAAGCAATGACGTCTTCAAGCTTTCCCTTATTCAACCATAAGTACTACATTGTTAAGGGTTGGGTAGTCAGGAGGATGATACAAAACCAAGCTTCTCAATCCAAAGCATTTATCTAAATAGGGACTGAAAGTCAAACAAAGAAACATTTATCACACCCCAGATGGCATTTGGGAGGTGGGTAAAATGAATGGTAAAGTGGCTGTACTTTCAGAAACTGGAAACAAAGGTTTACATGGAGTACTTTACCACAGACCATGTTTTCTGTAGGAATGACCACCTTTAGAATCCAATACAGCCAGTATACAGGTGTCCTGTCATTCTACTCCCAGGGAAAGATTACTCAGAGGGCTTACTGCCCAGGCTGGGTATCACACTCTTTACTGTGCTACACAGCCTTTGGTCATCTAATTCATCAAAAGGGCCTCCTTGAGGCTGAGAATGAATGTAACAACAATTATCAAAGTGACCCAATGCTGATAACTTCAGCAAGAAGCATGCACTGTTCATAGTTCAGAGGGAGATTAGAAATACAATCTGTGTATTCTCTATAAATGCCACTGGTGCTAGTACTTATAATTCTATAATTTCATTAATGCTTTCTTCTAAATATTTAAACAATGGTACAATAAAAAAATAATGCAGGCCTTCTGTACAAAGTTTCTACCATCTGTATAATACAGTTTCCTGTGACAACCTAGAAACAAAATCTGGCAGGAATGGCAAATACAATCTGGCCATTTCCCACTTCTCCCTCTCCTGGTACCCCAAAGCCCATTCAGAAACCTCCACAATTACACTCTTTCTCAGCAAATCTTAATGTCTTCCTCAACAGAGCTCTTTAAGCAGCTTGTTTATAAATGCCAGCAGCAACCAAAACATGTTGGCTAACCTGGGTTTCTTGGCCTTTTCTCCATGTATTTTATACTTTTTCTTCTTCTTGGGTGGCCCAGGGGAAGTATAACAGTAGACTTCCTTAATTTCCTCCATCACAACAGTTACCTCAGTACCATCATATGATGCATCCATGACTAGAGAGGAAAATCAAACACAAAGCTTTAAGAATGCACCTTAAAAGGGGCAGCAGCCTCCAGATTAAATATCCTTTACCTGTGTCAGGATCTAAAGGCTTAGCCACTTCCCAAACTCAACAGATTCTAAGCAGTATATGGGGTATTTTAACGTTAAAAATATACAGATTTCAGGACTCTAATTCAGCCTTTCTGAATTAGAATCTCTAGAGCATATGGAAATCTGCATAGTTAACAAACAGATTATTTGTTTAACCAAACCCTTATATTTACTCCTGGGATACAGTAATCCTTCAACTCAATTTTATTAGTTCCATATTACAAATATTCCATATAGAAACAGCTAAAAAGAATAGCTGGCCAGGAACCAGAAGTCTTGGCTGCTCCTTCATGTTTCATCAGCTTAAATAGCTTCATTCATTCATTCAAACATACAATAAGGACCTACATGCAAGAGATTTTTCTTTCTTTTTTTTTGGCACCAGGGATCTAACTCGGGAACTTGTGCTTGTAAGACAGGCAGCAGAACCACTGAGCTAAATCCCCAGCCCCTGCAAGAGATCTTTTTTTTTCTTGGTACCAGGGATAAGAGATTTTTTAAATACTCCACCAGCTTCTGCTTCTGTAATTTTGTGGTAGGTCTTTCAAAATGCTTTAGGCTCAGTTCATTCTCTCTCTTTCTCTCACATATATACATATAAAAAGATGTTTCACTCACCTTTCACTTTAATAATGGTAAGACTCAAAGGGCATGACAAGATACAACTTTACCTGAGAACAGTCAAGTGCTGAATGAAAGGGTTAATTATTATAGACTATTATCTGCAGGTGAGATTCTTAATGACCTGCCAAGGGCACCAGGCTCAAATGTGGACTAAAGAGTCAGGTTGTCTTTTTATTTATTTATTTATTTTTACTTAAAAACTCAATTCTTTGGTCCTTTATAATATAATACTGCTACCAATCCTACCGGCAATCCTCTTCACCAGAACTATTCAATAAACTCTAATGGGAAAGTTCTGCATCTGCGCTGTCCAATAGCCACTAGCCACACATGCCTATTAAAACACTCAAAATAAGGCTATTGTTACTGAGGAACAGATTAATTTGCTTTGTTGAACTGTAATTATATAGCCACACATGGCTAATATAGTGATATGGTACAGGTCTAAGAATAACTTAACAAACTAACATTATGAACTCTCTGCTGATGGCCTAAAAAAGACAAAGTACTAACAGCTTTTACGTCTAGGAAAAGGAAGGTACAAAGCAATTAATTCAAGAAGAGTTCATTTATTTGGGGCCAAGTTCTAAGTTGGGGCCATACAATCCTCAGAGGGAGAAAGTTCCTGAAAACCACCTGAATTTCACGACAGGGAAATGTTATAGTAGCTCTTGACAATCTATCAAAAGAAAACTTATTCTGATTCTAGAAAGAGGGAGTTGTGGTAACAAAGGATATAGGCTGTACAAGGCCCAGCTGCATCTCATATAGCCCTCACTCCAAAGATGACAAGGTATATAACAAGTATAATGACAAAAAGGACTGTATGTGGACTCAGGACACATGGACCCAAGTGTAAACTCTTCCCATGCGATTACACTAAATTCCAGCCGATTCTACACAAGATGAAGAGGATGAACTTAATGGCTCCTATCTTTGTAGGAAGCAAGACTCTTCAACAAATGTGAAAGCTTAAAAACTTTCCCTTAGAAAATGTAGACAATCAATATTTCACCTATAATTTTAAAGGTATACCCTATATTAAGAACATATTATTCCTAAGGGCCTTTATAACTATCATTTCTAAATGATTCCTTTTCTACCTTCTCCCCCAAAACAAAAATAAAACCTGTATCGTAACTATCATAGTGCAACCCAGGAAGAGAACACAGTCGCCAACCAAGTAGGTAAGCAAAAGGTTAAGGGCAGTGGGAGTTCAAATCAAGGGTAATGTAGAGGGGTGTACTTTTTTGCCCTTTATAATTGAATTCCTGGCCCTTGAAAGCCTTGTGGAGAAGAGCAGTAACTCCAAGACAGCATCCACAAAGAATGAGTTTAGCACCCAGAGCAAATCAAATTGAGAACCAAAGTCATTATTACCACCTTGGAGTGGGGGCAGCAAGAGAGAGTACCCTGGGTTTTTTGTTTGACTATTCTAGGCTTGGGTCCAAGTTTGTTTTCAGATCTTACGCCTCAGCACAGCACGCCAAAAAAGGCAGAATAACAAGAAGGTTAAAACCAAGGGCTCTGGAAGACAGATTCACTAATTACAGTTCCACTGTTTAAAAGCACCAGCACGGACCCGGATTACCTTAAGCAACTTACTTACTCTTTCTAAGCCTTAAATCGTCCCATGTGCAAAACAGAGAGAAGCAGCACTTGAAATATGACACTTTCACTGCCCCATCAGATCCTCCTCGGAACCTTAGGCGATGGCCTCTGATGGTTCGGCTCTGGGCTAGTTTCTTTTCCTTTCCGGGTTCCAAAGACACGGACCGCGGCGGGAAGAGGGCCCTATTTCTTGGAAGAGGCAGGAGGCTCGTCCCAAAGCGCCGCAGCGCCCAGCAGGCCGGCGGTGCGG